AAAATAAAGGATGATAAATTTACCTGGATAACAACATCAAACTCTATCAAACTCCTTACAGAATCCGAAAGCAAGGCATGATCTAAATGATCAACAAAAACAGTGTCCCACTTCTCAAGAAAAGGTTTAAAAAGCTTGCGCAGCCGTGCACCAGACAAGACATCTGCAACTACAGGCCACATCAACTCTTTAGCCAATAGAAGCGAAGCCCAAATTTCATCCTCTGTATGGATTGCACCAATAAGAAGAAGACCCTTCTTAGCCTCTTTGATTACTTGTAAGACCTCAGTAATTTGGCCAGTTGTTACACCATTGCTTTTAAAGCTTTGTACTTGAAAATATTTTGTGAATGGTTCAGCACTAGTCATCCACATTTCTAATCCATTTAAGCAGTTGAGTGACCAATTTGTTGGACTACCGTCAAGTGGGTCTCTAAAAGGACAATTGAGATGTACTGGTCCACAAGCAGAACCTGTAGCCCAATGTAGAGCAGAGTCTACAGTAGTAAGGACCATCCGGACTGGAATAAGATCAGTTGGAGGAGGAAGATTGAAGAAGAATCTGACAAATGAACCGAAGTGGTTTATCTGTGACACCAAAGAAATTTTAGGATACAGAAACAGAACACGCCAACCTATCCAACTGGGATACAATAAGTGTATAGTATATAGTTTCAAAGAAAGGTCCTATTTATGACCTTACTTGATTTATTGCTTGATTTGCGCCAACTCCCTGAAGTTCAGGAGGACGATCTGCAGTAAGCAGTAGCAGTGGTAAAAAATCTTCACTGGCTTCAACCACCTGTATTTGTCAAAAACCATGAAACAAATACCCTGTAAGGCAACACAAATGTAGGCGGCGAAGAATGTGGCTTGCAACAAACTAATAAAATAATTTCGTGAAGCATAAGTACAACTCTAACCGCTGGAAGAAGATTTGAAACGGCAGTTCCTGATGATGTTATAATGACTGCCGGTTTGAGGGATCCTTTAGCATACCCAATAGCGTGAAACGCAAGAGATCGTTCATCAAAGCATGCAAGACACGTTGTAAGGGGATGGTTGGCAGCAGCAATTGCAAGATGGGAAGACCTTGAACCAGGAGCTACACAAAAGTACTGTGGCGGTATGTTATGACAAAAGACATCCAAATTTGAGATTTTATCAGATGATTGAAAATTTCAGCTCACCGTCAAACCAAGACGAGTGCATTCTTCAATTATAGCTGATGCCCATACAGCATTGATGTTAGCCTCATTTGTCAATAATTTGCCCACTTCAGCCTCCTGATTTAGCTAATAGCCAAAAGAAAACAGGAAAAACAAAGGAAAAGAAACTTGAGTTCATACCATCCAAGATTTTGGAAAATCTAGTGCATCCTAATTATTTTCGCTTCTTAAAAAGCTATGATAACTAGAATAGCCTGAAGGTTCAAAAGTTTACAGCCACTAGACAGTCCTTCCAAACAATTCTTTGTGCAATCAGAATGCTTTAAAATTTGAACTACATATGGATTCTTCCACTTCCGAAACAGGCTGAAGTCCAGTTTCTCTCACAACATGCAGGCCACGATATTCTATTTTGGAGCTTAACACTACCGAGTGTACGATGAACAGTCTTTAAAATAGTCCAAGTCATACAAAACGTAGGACTAACCATCTAAGATAAAGTAAGAATATATGGCCATATTTATATATCTACATACCATGTTGTTTGAGAAAACAACTTCATGTGAAAGCTTGCAATGGAACTGACATGATGATTGTACACTTTTCTGCAACAAAAGGTGGCAAATCAAACCGTGTAGAATCCAAATGGTATGAAGAGAAGAAATTCCTGCAGGGTAAAGAAGATGAAAATTCTGAAATACAGGGATGAAAATTACCAGGGTAAAGAAGATACCAGTTCCTTGGCGTCAGCCTGATCTCTCCCAGAAAATGTGAAAAACCCCATATGCTCCTGCAAAAGTAAACATAATAATGGGTCGCATGAAAAGGGAAACTGAGTTAAAATGCTTACTACTTAGTCCAGACAAAAACTAAGGGCCAAACGCGCAAAACAATATTGTAAAAGAAACTTCGTAAATTTCCCCAGAGAGTCGGCTAAGTCAGATCCAAATGGACCACAGATTGCTAGATTTTTTTATATCAGATTATGTTTAAGTGACTCTCTCCAAAGATGAGGAATTTAATTGTGCAGGAAACAGTTTAATAAATAAAACAATAATCAGATCTATCCTTGCATCTTCTTCAGCTATTTAAAAATTTGGAGAAAAGCAGCCAACACTCAGTTAAAATACGGGAAAAGAACCTAAGTAAAGCGTGTACCATCTCAACTGGATGTATCTCTTCTACACTAAGCTTTGCAAGAAAACTTTTAAGATGTTTGAACCAATGCTCCTCTAAATTTGGGCAGAAATGACAAGAAACCTGTACAAAACGAACCAAAAGTGAGATTAAAGAGAAAAACAGGGCAAGGAAGAAAACATAATATTCAAAAAAAATCTTAAATAAGAAGAACAGCAATTACTAAAATATTTTAATTTCCAATTGATTGACATAAGTAAAACACATTTGCACTAAAAAGGTTTCATTTGATCAATTCCAAACCTCAGAAATCAGATGATGAAGTTCTATTCAACAGACTATAAAAAATTGTATTTTGTATTGAAATAATGTTTTAGACTGTTTAGTGTTGCTTCCAAACCACAAGCGCAGATAAGTTACAGGTAATTATTACTTTCAGGTGTATATATAGAGCACCATAGCCTAGCCTGGTATAACCTAATGTCGTCATCTCTTGTTTTTTTAAACTGATTTAGTTGCAGATACTAATAAGAAAATGTCGGAGAATCAGCATACCTGAAAAATGGATTCCTCATATGAACTAATTGCTTGCTCAAATCCATAAGAGAGAGAATCATTCCATGCCAGTGTAACTGCTAATATAGAGATCTCCTCGTGTTCATGTAACTCAATCTGTTGAAATTTCGATATTAAAACCATGTATAATGTAAGAACGCTTGTTACAAGCATTTCATAGATCAACCGGAGAGATACCAAAAAGCAAGTAAAAAGACATAATTTAAGAGCTTGGTGATAAAGTCGATGCCACTTCACCTGAGGAACGAAAAAGTAAGAAGAGCCATCCTTGTTATTTACAATAGAGTTGTCGCTGAAATCAATATCTGGAAAACCATAGGCCGTCACCATAGCTGATTCATCTGAGAGGAATCTGCAGAAGTTAGTTAGCTTAACTGCTTGAAGCGAAATGAGAAAGATCCAATACTCATCTTGGTTTTAGTGTAGTATCGAATTGAAACTAAACAAGCTAATTTGTAAGTAGAAAAGCAAAAAGCCTACGTCTTTATCGTGCTATGTCGTCCCTTGGAGTCAACTGATGATGAATGAACGAAAGAGAGTGCGTTCCCAATTCCAAAAACACCATGAGGTTCCTTTACATAGAGTGATTTATAACAAGGATTCACAGTTTCCTTGGAGAGGAAGAACACAGGAAAGACACTGGAAGACATAGGTTGAGAGCAAAACCAGAACAAAGCTTTTGCCCTTGGAGGCACAGCCACCTACGAAATCAAAACACAATCTCAACCTGATAACATGTCTGCATCCACAAAATCAAACAAAAAAAAAAGCAAAATTCGTACTTGAAATCGCAAGACGCCGCTAGATGATTTGGGAGGATTAGTCTTGAGTTCGTCCACAGCATCCTTGACGCTCTCGAGGCCAAGCTCAAGAGTCAAAGCTGGAGGCAATGTACGAGTCACACACACTTGGACCATTAAATCATCATCCTCATCCACCTCCAGAGCGTCGCTACTCGTAATCGGCCCATCGAATTGTAATCCTTGAGGGAACTACACAACAACAGTGAACCCAGAAATCAAAATCGAATACACTAGAACCTACTGTTTCTCATGGGATGAAAAAAATAACCAACCTCGATGTTTCTTCCGATTCCATGAAGAGAAACACGAAGGGATTTGGCGAAGGAGAAGCGTTCTCTTCCTCGTCTGAAGGAGGAGTTTCTGGAGCTGTAACCAGGGATTAGAGAAGGAAGAAACGGAGGATTCGAGACCAGAAACGAATAGCATGGAGATCGCATTTTATCTTTGGTATGAAACTGAGGATGTGAATCGCAATGGATGGTGAGAGGTTTTAGAGGAGGTTTTTGGATAAGGCGCAGTACGTTTTTTTTATTTTATGAATCGTCGATTTTGGTTTTTGATTGATTATAATATTTTCTCACATTTTCTAAAAATTCAAGATATTCTATTTAAATTAGGAAAAGCAAAATGAAAAAACAACCGAAACTTTCTAAAGAGCTAGATTGCTCTCAATAATAATAAAAAAAAAAAAAAAAAAAAAAAAAAAACAGCAAACTAACATTAGATTTGAATTTTCAAGAGCTTTCTAAAGAGCTATAGATTGCTCTCAATAATCCTCGCCAGTAAAATTTCCAAGTTTTTTTTACTTTGAATATACTTTTATTTCATTTGTTCCCCTTAAATGAGCATCCTTTGATGTCAAAAAAAAAAAAAATGGGCATCCTTTTGAATTACAATTAGAACAAATAACTGAAAAAAAAAACTTAACTAATACAATTACAAGTTAGAAACTCATGTTTGGTTTGGTTTTAAAGCTTAATCATGTTGTATTGAGATTTTGGCTCACCCTATATTCAAATTACCGTCACTGATGGGTCAACCAATTAACATGACCTGACATTTGTGGCCGTATACCTTTTGAAGTTCTTGATTCAGTTTTTATTTTAAACAATCCTATAAGATAAGTAGTTTATAAAACCTATTTACATGAATTCATAATCTATATATGGTTGAATATTATTATATTGCACTTTTAGAGGTAAATGGTGGAATTTCAAATCTGATTCACGTGAAGAAATGTTTGGCAGACAAGAAATCCCGAAAAAAAATACAAAAAAAAAAAACCTAACAAGGTTACGAGTCGATCAAAAGGCCCTCTACGTTAAGAAACTTTTTGTTTTAACGTTAAACCTATTAAGCCCCATCTCACCAATCATCTTCATCGAATTGGAATTTTCTTGTCGAAGTTTCGTGTTCTCTTCTACAACCATCTTATAACCCTCCCTGGCTCGGTTTAGCTCATCGACCAGGCAATGGTTCTCATTGACGAGCTGAACAAGCATGGACCACAGCTCGTCCAGGTGTCGCCTTTTCCTCATACGCGATCTCCGAGCTGACTCTCGGTTCGAAATTTTCCTTCTCTGCTTCCGCTCATCGTCCTCTGCGCTCCGGCTAGGCTCATCTGACGTGGCAGGCAAATTTACAAGAAGTGGAACTCGATTACCAAAGAACTCTGGAATAGAGTCTTCACAGGGAAGGTTATAGACAATACTAGCCATATATAAAGAAAATTAGAAGTTTTGTGTTCGTTCGTGACTTATGATGGTATAGATGATATGGTACTCTGATTGGGGTTTTATAGATGAATAATAATTTGAGGGTAGTGACCTTATACTAATAACTTAATGTGGGTAAAAGAGGTTTACAAGTAATTTATAACATTTCTCATTAGTTGTGATCAAATTAAGATTGTTGTTACTTGATTATTCTGAGGAAGAAAGCATGAGAGGCAGCAACTCGTCGACGCACCATGTTTCTTCTCGAGGAACCTTCCTACCATATCTACTTTTTTGAAGCATATTTAATTGATAATCCAATGGGTTTTGAAATTTGTGGGTAATAAACTAATAATATAGCATAAAGTGACTTTACTCCTTAATACATAATTCATAGTGTTAGATTGTTGGCAACTAAGAAATTTTAGTGCTTTGGCTAGTATTACACCCAGTCCTGATTACACCAAACGACTATTTACTCGATATGAAAAAAAAAAAACAATTCTAGAGTCTTCACATCAACATACTCGATATGAAATCGTTTGGTAATAATAGAACTTTAATCTTATTTATGGATTGGTTCTCTATTTTGTGAGATATTTTGCAATGAAAGAATAGGTGTTAATTATGTCTGTTGACATAAATCTTAACACTACAACAAAACTTAACAAATATTTTAAGGGACAAAATTTATTCGTGATGCATACTTGCGAGAATTGTGGAAAAAGGACTAACGTCATATTTTTAAAAAAAGGACTAACGTCATATTTAAAAAAAAAAAAAACTAAAATTTAAGAAATAATAACTTTTTGTTGACTTTCAAATTTTATTATTGAAGAAGAAAATTAAATATAAGAAAATGATCATTGTTAGACATTTTTTGTCGACAATTGTTGTTTTTTTTTAACTGTTAGACTTGTTATGTTACATCTTATTGATTAGTGGTTGATGTCTTGATGGTTTGTTTACACTTTATAGTAAGCGTTACTACTGTGACAAATTTACGCGACTCTAACCAAATTTATCCTAAGTGAAATAAAAAAAATGTATACAATCCGAAAATTCTACGCTAAATTTTTGATACTCTTCACAAGTTCACCTCCTGAAAAATCCTTTTCACTGCTCTCTCTTTAACCATTCAAATTTGACAACGTATACAGGTATACTCAAGAAGGTTAATATCGTAAATTTTGAAATGCCTTTCAAACTTTAGCAACGAATACTCAGTAAGGTTATAATCGTAAATTCGAAATACTCTTCAACGTATACTCAATAAGGTTATAATCGTAAATTCGAAATACTCTTCAAAACGAGTACTGTACATTATAAAACCCCATTCACACTGCTCTTCGTAACGGAAACTCTCCTTCCACCCCCCCCCCAGAAGCCCAGAGAATTCGAAATTTCAAATTTTTTCAAATCGTCCTGTTTGAAAAACGAGTTAGGGTTCCATAACTTCACATCGTTGCGTGGAGAAGCGATTTTTCCTTTTCTGCCTTCTTCTCATTCTTATCTCAGATCGATTTTTAATTACCCTGATCAATGGCGTCTGGTTCGTCGGGTCAATTCAATCCGGGTTTTGATTTTGGGGTCGATGGATTCGAGGATTACGAATTTCCTCTTTTTTTTGAATTCGGATCGTGCGAATCGTCCTACCGAATCCAAGAAGGTGTGTAAGCTTTCGATTTCCTTTTTGGTTTTTTAAGTTTGGAATTTACTACTTGATCGGTGTGTAAATGTTGATTTGGGAATCTAGGGTTTTGATTTGGAAACTTCTTTCATCTTAGTTCCTGCTGGATTTTAGTGGTTCGATGGTTACGATATCTTCCAATTAGGGTATTTGTTTAATGGACTTTTGAAATTTGGTTATCCGATAATTTAATACTTTGAAACAGTTTCGCAAAGTCTACATCATATAGATAACTATATATATGGTTACATTGTTTATAGCGAAATGTTGATTTGGGAATCTAGGGTTTTGATTTGGAAACCTTTTTCTTCTTAGTTTCCTGCTGGGGTTTAGTGATTCGATTCTTCCGAATCTTCCAATTAGGGTAATTGCGTATTTGTTTAATGGATTTTTTGAAAGATGGAGATTGGATAGTTTAATACTGTGAATATAGAAATAGTTTCAATTTGTTAATGAAACTAAGGATTTAAAGAGTTCTCCTCATGACTCTGAATGAACTGTGGCTTGGATTTTACGGAACCCACCATATTCGTCATTATCACTGTCTTTTATCTATGAAGATGAATTTTGGAAAAATTGTCAATGGTTGTATTTCACGCAAGATTAATCAATCTATGACAATACTATACACAAGTATGTGGTCGCTATCCGTCTTCCTAACTTTGTATGTTTATGTCGTGATTTCAGAGCTCAAACATAACTCAGCCTGTGGTCATATGATTCAGCAAATCAAGTGGCAATTCATATCTCTATTCGGAGACGGGAGTAAATGTGAGTTTTGAAAAAACACTCTTGCTGCATAGATGATGATCTTAATGTGTTCTTAGCCGTTTTGCAGCTTTTAAATGTGTGAGATTGTTTTCCTAATTTATTGCATTTTTTTCTCTTGGCCTTGATTTTGTAGTCTCATTCTGTTGTTGTGTGTTGTCTGCCAATAGAATTTGCTTGGAAATTTAGTAGCCAAGAGTATATGAGGGGTCAGGTAACTGTTTTTAATTTCTTTCTTCTCGTGTGTTCTGTCTCATGCAGGTATCTTTGAGTTTCCAGAGGCCATTTTGTAGCCAAGCGCATGTGAGAGGTCATGTTAAGTAAATCTCTCCCTCTATTCTGTCTCTGACGAGCCGATCTAGTTCGGCTTGTGTGAGTTATTCACACTATCTAGAAACATCCAAAAGACACTCAAACAAATTGCATCCAAACTCAAAACACACGCAAAGATAACAAAACTCAAACATAATACAACAAATTAATGAGCAGGAGAAAATCACATCACACACACACAAGAAACTCAATCAAAAACTTGACAACAAAACTAAAACTCAGCACAAAAAACGAGCCAATCAAAAACACTCTGAAACAAAGTTAAGTTCCACGGGCAGTCGGGCACATAACTAAAGCACAGCATATCTTTCTTTACTGGCAAGAATTCTGAGATTCTGTTGTGGTGTTAATTTCAGGTGAAGTACCATTCTCTTCCCATTTCTCTTTCTTTTTTTTAGTCTTTTACTACTATCAATTATTTGTTGGTCAAAGCTGATAGTATTCGAGAAAAGTTATTTATAATTTTTTGTCAAATGAGCTCACATTTAAACTTATTATGCTGTCTTAACGATTTTGTTGTTTTTATGCTACTCCAAAAGAGAAATTCAAGCCACTACGAGCGAAAACTGAACTTTGCCCTGCATACAAAAAGAACGAGGTAACTATTATATTCATTTAGATATGTATGAAAACGGACAGGAGTTCTTTTGTTTGTGACGCTCTGTTTGGATGAAAAGCGAATAAACATATATTGTCCCAAATTTGATATAAAGTATTTTTTGGGAATATATGTTGTGTTTACGTGACTTGTAACTTGATACGGCATATCATAATTGTGTAATTTGATCTCGATTTTTTTAGGTAAAATATGGCATATCATAATTGTGTAATTCGATCTCGATGCAATTTCAGGTGAAGTACCTCTCTCTTCTCATTTATCTTCCAATATCAATTTGTTTTCTTTGTCTGGCGACTACTTATCATTTTGTTCTTTAAAGCAGATAGTTTCGAAGATTTGTTTATCGTTTTAGCCAAAATAGGAGAACCAACTTGCAGTTATAATTTTGTCTTTTTTATGCTTTTCTAAAAGTCAGATTTAAGCCACTTAGATATTTCTTTATCGGTTTTTAATGCCAGTGAAGGAAATTCGGTGCTGATTAGCACAAGATTGTTCTATAATTTGCATTTGGCTCCTGAAATTTGATTCAGTGTAAAATAGTTCTGATTGGTCCAAAGTTATGCAGGATGGGTCGAGTGAAGCTAAAGATAAAGAAACTAGAGAGCTTTACTCCACGTCAAGTTACGTATGCGAAAAGAAAACATGGCATCATAAAAACGGCTAAAGAGTTATCGATCTTATGCGATGTCGATATTGTGCTTCTCATGTTCTCTCCCGTGGGAAAGGCTTCACTGTGCTGCGGGAAACACAGGTCTGGTGACTCTTTCTATGTTTAATCATCGTTCTGTTTAGTTTTCGTCTTTTGTTTTGATGCTCTGCTTTTGGGGTTTGTTTAGTATTGGAGAATTCATTGCCAAGTTTGCTCAACTCACTCCTCAAGAAAGGGCAAAGAGGTTTACATCCATTGACTCTATAAAAACACGCATCTTTCTACGTAGATGTTACACTGAACATAACTATTTGTTTTTTTTTCCCTGTCTACGTTTGAACAGGAAGTTGGAAACTCTTGAAGTAAGTGGTTTTGCTTGGCTCTGTTTAGTCTCTTTCTTTTCTTATCTACTAAACTATCATTTCATACTATTTTCTTCTCACGATATCTCAGGCCTTGAAGAAAACATTTATGAAGCTTGACCACGATGTAAATATAGCAGAGTTTCTGGACAGAAGGTTTGTACATTATTACATATATATTAAGAATCTGAGCTTCGTTGTGAACTCTTTCTGTGTTTCTTCTTGTTTAGTGTTTGTGAGTACTATTACTAATGTGACTTATTTTTTTATCTTTTCAGTAAATCAACAATTGAGGTATGTACAACTAATTACTATGATGTTAAATACTGATCATGGAAACATCATCTAATCCAATTGTTTCTCGCAACCAGGAACTTTCAGGTTCTAAGAGAAAAAGTCAGGTTTCTTCAAACACACTTATCAGAATTACACACACGACTAAGGTGCTAAAATCCTTCTATATGCTTTCAGTTAAAACCTCCTCTCGGTTTTTGCTTATCTCGTTTGTGAGTTACATTCTTTTCCGATATAGCTATTGAACTGAGCTCGAGAAGATTGACAGCGTAGATGATTTGCAGCAACTAGAAAATTCACTAAGAAAATCTTTGTACCGAATCCGTGCTCATAAGGTATATAAAATCCATATTCCAAAACGATTAGTTATGGATTTATTTTACAAAACTTATGCATCTTATTACGATGTAGATGTTGTGCTTCTCATGTTCTCTCCTGTGGGAAAGGCTTCACTGTGCTGCGGGAAACACAGGTCTGGTGACTCTTTCTATGTACCAAAGGCTGTTTAATCATCGTTCTGTTTAGTTTCTGGCTGTTGTTTTGATGTTCTGCTTGTGGGGGTTTGTTTAGTATTGGAGAAGTCATTGCCAAGTTTTCTCAACTCACTCCTCAAGAAAGGGCAAAGAGGTTACTTCCGTTAACTCTATAAAAACACGAATCTTTCTGCGTAGATGTTACACTGAGAGTAACTATTTGTTTTTTTCTTTCTTGTCTACGTTTTACAGGAAGTTGGAAACTCTTGAAGTAAGTAGTTTTGCTTGGCTCTGTTTGGTCTCTTTCTCTTCTTATCTCCTAAACTATCATTTCATACTATTTTCTTCTCACAATATCTCAGGCTTTGAAGAAAATATTTATGAAGCTTGACCACGATGTAAATATATCAGAGTTTCTGAACAGAAGGTTTGTACATTATTACACATATATTAATAATCTTGTGAACTCTTTCTCTGTTTGTTCTTGTTTAGTCTTTGTGAGTATTATTACTAATGTGACTTGTTTTTGTTGTCTTTTCTCAGTAAATCAACAATTGAGGTATGTACAACTAACTACTATGATGTTAATACTGATCATGAAAATATCATCTAATTCAATTGTTTCTCGCAACCGGGAACTTTCAGGTTCTTAGAGAAAAAGTCAGGTTTCTGCAAACACACTTATCAGAATTACAAACACGACTAAGGTGCTAAAATCTTTCTACATGTTTTCAGTTAAATTCTCTTCTCCGGTTTCTGCTATCTCATTTGTGTGTTACATTCTTTTCCGATATAGCTATTGGACCGAGCTAGAGAAGATTGACAGCTTAGATGATTTGCAGCAACTAGAAAATTCACTAAGAAAAATCTTTGTATCAAATCGGTGCTCATAAGGTATATAAATCCATCTTCCAAACGATTAGTTATGGTTTCATTTTTTAAAAATTATGCATCTTATTACGAGTTATATATATAGGTGAATATGCTGCAAGTGCAACATCAGCAGGATCAATTTATGTCCTCGGAATGCATAAATCAGGTACACATCAACTTTGACATTAGAGATCTTTGGATGTGTGTATATTAAGAGAGCTTACATATTGTGTTCATGCAGTTGCATATTGAAATAGATCTAGATTTACAGAAAGTATGAGCAAGCAGTCGACTCCCCGCTTGGATCAGACTAGTAAGATTTACAATAAGTAGCATAGACTGTTAAAACCATTTATTAGCATTCCATTTGATAGTTTCTTCATTCATACGTAATGTAGCATATACTAAATGGGTGTGCCCCAGATTAGCTACATCCCTCTTTCACTCTATGATGATGTTTTTAACAGAGTTTCATGTTGTTTTATTGTCTCTACTGAGCTATTGCTTAATGTCACTAGTAACAAGAAGACATTTTATGAAGTCTACGGGGAAAGAATGTAAGGGCATGTTATCCAAAAAAAAAAAAAAGAATGTAAGGGCATCCATTATTATGTAGATGTATTCTTTTGTTTTTCTTCTGTTAGATTATGAGTATATTGGTTTTTCATCATATGAAGATGGACGGTTGCTCATGATTTTCTGTTGGGGGGAGTAAAAATATGAACCTTCAGTAGAAAAACAAGAGTGTATCATCAATTTTAGCAGCTAAGGGAAAAAAGAATGGTCAGGTAAATAAACAAACTCTATAAAATCAAACTCTCTTCGTCTTTTTTTTTTTAATTCTCCTCACTGTTCATATTTTTTCTCTTGTTTCTTGCTTCATAAGTAAAGAAAATCAACTCTCTGCGTCTTATTTGTTTTTCCCTCGTGTGTTTTGCCTCATGCATAGGTCTTTCAGCTGCAAACAACAAAGGTTCTACATGCAAATTATATAGGCAATGATCAATGAAGAGTCAAGGGAAGTAATTTTCTTACTCTATTCTCATGTTTATTGCCTCACCCATAGTAAGTCGATTTTCAGTGCTCACATTCTCTACAAAACCAAAAAACATAACAAAAAACATTTTTTGCCAAAAAAAAACACAACAAAAAGCACCAAAAACAGAACAAAACTCAAATACAAATCATCACAACATAAAAAACGACCAAAGCAGAAAAAAAAAAAACCTTACACACAATACAAATGAATTTCACGCACACACTCAAAAACAACCACACAACACAACACAACACAACGAATGCCGAACACATTATCTTATCGTTTTTTTTCTTTTTGAAAGTAAAGAGCACTCATATCTTATCTTGAAGTGCTTTGACATTGATAAGCCATTAAGAGCTTACTATAGATTAAGGAAGAAGGCTGAGCTGGATCGTCAAAGGATAAAGAAGAAGAGAATTGAGCAGAGTCGTCGGCTGACGTGGACAGAGTCAAGGGGAGTCTGTTAGAGGAGAAGAATAGTATATAGAAATTCTGTATTACAGTTTTAGATCTTTTATGAATTTGTGATTGATCATAGTTTTTGGAGAGTTTGTTCTCAGCAATTGGCGAGGCTCAAGAGATTGTTCTTGAGGTTTCGATTCGGATCGATTCGGATCGCTCATCGTCTGAGAGTCTTAGACGTGATCGATTTTGTACTTCTTTCTTTGAGTGAAATAAAATAGTGGCGTTTCTCTTATTAAACATGTAGGTATTTTTTTCATGAGGATCAAAAGAAAACAGATCATCATCTTTCACTTGACGGTGCAAAAGAAAGACTCAAATTATTCAAAACAAATCTTTTAGACAAGGGATTTTTCGAGCACGCAGGTTCGTCAACGATGTTACTCTGTTCTGACCAACACAATCCTTATTTACTAATCCACTAAATTAAATTTACTGTCAGTAGTCCCACATCTACAATTACAGAAAGTATATGACATGAAATCCAGTCATTACCAATTAATTTTGAATTTGAAGCCTATAAGATTTATTAGTTACTTTTGATTTTGTAGGCTGATCTGATTGAACCAGCTGTCAAGGCATTATTAACGTCCAAAAAAAAACATGCAATAAAGGGTCATCGTAATTATAGACTACATATCTGTAAGCGCATATAATTATCCTATGTCCGAGTAATGAATAGACTAGACAATAAATTTTTGTTTACAACTGCCAAATTTATGTGTAATTTGATAATTTTCTTGTATTTTTTATTCATTAAAGTTATTAGATTACATACGTATAGAAAATACATTAAGATAGTAATTACATTGATTCCCAATTTATTGTTGTTATAAATGTTTTTACTTTTGAATTTAAAAGTCAAGATCTCATAATTAATTAGAGTTATGTATAGAAGATTACAAAAGGACACACGTCAAAGTATGTGATGCCATTTGCTAAAAAGAGGTAATCTTGTGGTATTTTTAGAGAATTAATTCCTCTAAGATATTGACTTTGAATAGTGATAAATATTTCCTCATATGTGTTTGGCCAAAAATATAAAAACCTCATTCTGATGAACACTTCTACACCCATCACAACTATTGCGTTTGAAGTGAAGAAATATGAACGGCGGAGGAAAGGTGGTCTGCGTCACCGGAGCTTCCGGATACATAGCGTCTTGGATTGTTAAGCTGTTGCTTCTCCGTGGCTACACCGTCAGGGCCACCGTTAGAGACCCAAGTTTGTTTCCAATTCTCTCTTTTCCTTAATCTACAATTAAATATTATTTTCCTTATACCATATATAGAAGAATAGAACTAAAGAAGGTATCTTGAAGTGCACTTTGACATATATGTACGTGTTGTCTTTCTGCAGAAGATCAAAAGAAAACTGATCATCTTCTTGCACTTGATAGCGCAAAAGAAAGACTCAAATTATTCAAAGCAAATCTTTTAGAAGAAGGTTCTTTCGACCATGCAATCGATGGATGCGATATTGTCGTCCACACAGCTTCACCGGTTACACTCACTGTTGCTGATCCTCAGGTTCGTCAACGATATCACTTTGTTCTGACCAACACAATCCTTAATAATCAGAGAGGATATAACTTAATACATAAATGACATATATGTAGATCATCCTCACGTTAGTCCAGTCATGACTCATAGCTACTTGGTTTTGACTTGGAAACTTATAAAACTTAACCGTTATTCTGGATTTTGTAGGCTGATATGATCGATCCAGCAGTCAAGGGTACTTTAAACGTCCTAAAGACTTGTATCAAAGTGTCTTCTGTCAAGAGAGTCATCGTAACATCGTCCATGGCCGCAGTTCTTGCCCGTGGTTCCCGCTTTGGACCAAACGACTTAGTAGATGAAACCACATTCTCTGATCCAAGTTTTTGTGAGAAGCAAAAGGTCTTTAAATAGTGTTAAAAGTTATAACACATCAATGAGTTCATGAGAACTCGCAATATAATTCTTACTTTTTTTTTTCCTTTTTCAGAAATGGTATGCACTCTCTAAGACTTTAGCAGAAGATGCAGCATGGAAGTTTGCCAAGGCTAATGGGCTCGACTTGATCGTGATGAATCCAGGACTTGTCGTAGGACCAATATTGCAGCCGAGTCTTAATTTCTCGGTGGAGGTGGTTGTGGATCTTATAAAGGGTAAGGATCCGTTTAATAGCAAACATTATAGGTTTGTGGACGTGAGAGATGTTGCTCTAGCTCATGTCAAGGCACTCGAGACTCCATCAGCCAATGGTAGATACATCATTGATGGTCCGCTTGTGACATTGAGCGACATTGAAAAAGTTTTGCGCGAATTCTATCCTGATTTGTCCATTGCTGATGATAAGTGAGTTTTCTTTGCTTTTTTAGTCTCATGTATTTATTAGTTACAAATACGTTTTTATTGTACAGATTAACAGTATTGTTATTTTGAATTAATCTTAGGAATAATGAAGACATTGGGATTGATTTAGTGACATACAAAGTGTGTGTGGAGAAAGTGAAAAGTTTGGGAATTGAGTTCACTCCTACAGAAACAAGCCTTAGAGATACTGTTCTTTGTCTCAAGGAGAAATGTCTTGTGTGATTCCTTGTATTTTTTTTTTTTTTATATATCAGCTATTAAGTGACATGAATAACAAAATTTGTATCCTCTTTATAATTCATCAAATAATATATATTCATCATCCTTTTCTTGCATTTCTTTGCTGATTGTTTTTTTCCTATAAAACCTTTAAAAACATGAAAATGCATGGAGCATTTGTTTTTCTATATTTAATTGGGATTTATTCAAGGTGTCGTAAATTTGAGTTTATCACGTAACGTGGCAATGCGAGTTTCACCGTCCCCAAGGCAATGCATTCTGTTTAAGAAACAACCTTCTCTGCTTCTTCTTCCTCTTCTTCTTCTTCCAAAATCTTAACCATTTCAAAGTTGATAATGATGATGGGAATAATAAGCATCCAGACGGTAATGGATCTGATCGTCGCCGGTTTCTCTCTGATGATCGGATTTGGATTCTTTGCTCTCATCGCCTCTGTCCTCTGCTCCGTTGCTTTCCTCCACCATCTCAGAGCTTCTCCTTCCGAACCCTCCATTTTAACTTCTCGCCGGAGATAATTCGTAAGAGATGTTCCTTTTATATACTTACCCCTTCCTTCTTCCATGGATCTCGTCACTTAAAAAATCTGTCTTGGTCAATTGAGTTCGTTTCTTTTTTCAGTTATAACTCAATGTTTGATTTATCTCTGCAATTTTTTTCGGAAAAACCAGAGTCGAAAAATGGTGGGGGAGACAAGAACTCGCACAAAGGCTTCTTTAGATATACTATCACGAGAAATGGTGTCTGAAAGAATTATTGATTAAAGTTAGATTGCTAGAACATCTGGGGAACTGTAACTTGTGATTTACGGAACTAAATAAAATTTAGGAGTAAATTTCGTTACTCTATTACTTTTTTCCTCTGTTTACGCTCTAAACGGTCCTAGTTGTTGATCGAGCATGAAATGTCTGTACGACGGCGTTTTGTCAATTTCGGTCGGATCGACCTGAAACCGGAGATAAACCGGCGAGACGTGGAGTTTTGTGCAACCTAGAAGCATGGTTTTACACTACATATTTCTTCTTGCTAAATTTGTCAAATTTCTCTCATAGAGTGTGTGACTTGTGGATAACGACTCGATCTTCTCTTTTAATCCAATAACATGAGAAAGTAGCATCTGCATGAAGAAACTCATGACAGTTGTTATTGAAGAAACTTATATCACAAATGGACTAGTTTAGTGCCTTGAGATATATAAACATCTCAGCCTGATGAGAGTTTTATTAGATTATGTTTATTGATATACAAACTAAAATGCAACAGAGGCTAAAACTTGATTAGCTAGTTAGATTGTGGTGCCATTGCAGCTTCTTTCACTTCATAGTTTGTGTTGGCATTGTGTTTGAATGTCTCTGGGATGAAATCAACAGTAGATGGTTGTTTTGCTGCCTCCTTGCTTACGAGGGACTCGTAAATCCCCTTGTCTAAATGCAAATGGAGTGCATCACATGAGCCAGACCAGCAAGTCAACGGTTTGCAGTACATGGTCTCTCTAAAACCAATTCTGTCCATGCCACGTCCACCACCACCATTATATTGAATCCCACGACCACCACCACCATACTGGACTCTGCTGCCACCGGCTCCTCTGATGCAAAGACCGGGAAGACAGAACCCGCCCTCGTAACCAAACTGATTCCCACCAGACCATTTCTGGTCTAGAGATCCAACTCCTAAGGTTAGTATAAGTGTTAGTGAGAAGCAAATGCAAATATATTTGAGTTCTGTCATTTTTTCTTTCTGGTGTTTAATAGTTTGTAGGCTGAGAAGGATCACTGTCCTTTATATATACTTGTCAATATGGTGTCATGCTTTTGTCATTAGGTAGTACAAGGAGCCTGAAAATATGGGAAATGGAATGAGAAGTTGTTTTTGCAAGTAAATGTGTTGTGGTAGCGTTTTGAGGGAGGAAATTAAGGATATTGTTTGTTTGTAACACTGAGTTGTCTTCCGTGTTGTTTTTATAATTTACATTTTAAACAATTTTCAAAATCAATATAGTTTTTGAGACAATCTATTTTCAAGTTGTGTAGATGGTTTTGTGACTTGGTTGAACGATTTTCAGAATTGTTTCCGCATGTTCTTCATTTAGTTTTAAGAAGCAGAACTTAAGGGAGTCCTAACAGTAAATTTCTGTCTTGAAACTTGCCATTAAACTTGTCATTTTTAATTCCAATGGAGCTTTTGACAAAAAAAAAAAAAAAAAATGCTTGGTTCTTTCTACGGATCAGTTGAAATTGGTAGACCAGGGGCAATGTGTTGTGCATTTACTAAGTCACATTCTCTCACATTTTGTGGGTCATAGAATTAGATTGGACGACCCTTATTTCATTATCATCTACCTGTTTACTTCATCTACACGTGCATGGTGGATTTGAGATTACAATGTCGAAAGTGACTTGAGAATCACATCTACGTGAAGGTGAGAGCGGTCCTCTCCTAGCAAGCTGCCAGCTAAAAACTATTTGTCGTCATTTCAATACTTTTTCAGTCATTTTCTAAGACTAACATTTTAGTCGTTCTCGATTGGTTTAGGATAAGCATACAATAATTAAACCATTAGATCAAACGGTTAGTTTGCAACAATTAGAAGAAAAAAAAGCGACTAATTTTATAAATGCTTGATCAATTGTCAGTTCTTGAGTATCCAAAGATTTGTTAACTCTGTTATTGATCTCTGTTTCTTCTTACTGTTGTGAACAGGCAGAAGCTACATGATTCTTACTGTGTGGAAAAGGTGGAGAAGAATAGCACAAACAGGTTCTTTTTTTGGATCTTCACTAACTCTTTTCCTGATGTGTATATTATGAATTTTGATTATAGAATTTTGTGTGAAAGTTGATAATGACATATCTTGAATGATTGAAATTTGTTCTTTGAGAAAAAATAAAATAAAAGAATCATGTGAAAGCATTGAAAGCAGCAGGACTCTCTGTTAAACAGGCAAAGCTATGGTGTGTTAGCTACTTTGGGGCCACACCTATAGAACAATTTGGTAAACGTTAGAAACTCTTGTTTTGTCATCAACCTCTTTGTTTTATCCAAAACTCAATCGTTTGGATCGAAATTCGTTTGAATGAGTAAAATTCGTAAACATTGTTGCTAGTCAATGACTACGGATTACTGAATTGTTTACCTTCTTGATTGCTCCTTTGTTGAAGATGCAAATCAGAACATATGTTCCCTTTTGTGTTAGAACAGAGTATATGTGGAAAAGGTAGATATTATTAGCATAGCTACAATGATTAACCACACGGATAAGTTACATGAACGGAGTTTGCTTTAAGCAAAAACATAATCCCGTTAAAGAAAGCAAAGCATCCTCAAATGATGGTAAATACACTACTTGTTCTTTTCTTTTTCATTGAGACAAAAGAGAAACATTGGGATTGCAATAGAAATTATTAAAAGAAGTATGAGTCTTATTTGGTTTTGCTCACCTTGCCTCTACTTTGAACACGACTATTTGCAGTGGTTCTTGTTCTAGCCTTGAGCTCAGATTCCTCTTCTTGGTCGCTGAATTTCTCACAAGCTCTATTCTTTGTCTGGTGATTGACTTGTTTGGCATTACTATTCTTTGCAGCTGCTGCATGATTCTTGGTGTTTCTTGGAAGCTGAGTGCTAGGCCATGAGGATGCATCAGAGGTCATCGAGTCATCGCTCCTATTGTCACTACTATCATCATCATCGTCATCATCATCACCACCATCTTCACCATCATCTTTTACTCGGAAATCCCCATCGTCACCATCTTCATCATAGTCTTGGTAGACAACATCAGAGCGATGATGGTTACCATGGAAAGTGTCTTCTATGTACATAGTCCATCCTGATTCACAACTAGTCTTCTCCTCAGTACCTCCATGGATTCTTGGAGACTCCATTGCTAACACAAAAAGTTAACTTAGCCTTTTTTTCTTTTGTTTAACGTTACGTACCTCAAGCTTGTTCCAATATCCCTTTAGCCTCTGATATAGCCTCTGTGTCTCTCGCTGTCTTTGGCTTTGCTCTTCATCATCAATAAATACTGTCTGATTTTTCTTTTCTTTTTTTTTTGCCTTTCTTGTGTTTCAGAATCAGGAAAAGCCGGAGCCTATTGAATCACACTTATATAATTGAATACCAGGAGTGAGTATCACCACATGGCAATTCTTGCACCATTGTTTTCGCCCAATTGAAGCACTACAAGACAAGCCATTTTCAGATATATATAAAGAAGGAGAAAGGTTAATTAGTAGCACCTTCTTCAAATAAAAATAGTACACTTCTGTAAAAAAAAATTTTTTAATTCTTATTACCCCTAGAGATATATATAGGGAATTGAGTATTATAGTTCCCAAAACACGGTTCGAACCACAGAAAACATCAATACCCATCAAACAAGAGTTATCTGAATTGAGCTCTCATTAAGTGATGTGTAAGCAATGCTCATTGGTGGGTTAGACTCACCTTTTTCATTTCTCTTTCTTTCTTTTTTTCTTTTGATTGATAATAACCATATGATAGGATAGACACAACATTTACTAGTTTTTACTTCTCTCTCTCTCTGTTTCATTCATTCACTGAGCTATAATCAATCTCACAACTACAAAATGACCTGCTTTTTGAGGTGGGAATCAGATGAGACCCACTCAACAAACAAGAAGGAATATGAAACCCATTTTCTTAATTAGGTTAGGAGCTGTTCCTCTTCCTCATTCCTTTAATACTCTCCTTCCTATTCCCAGTCCTGTCTTGGTCATAAAAAGTGTTGCAGCCTTTTGTGTTCCTCTCTCCTCTCTCTCCCCCAAAATGTAGAGTTGTTTTCTTTTGCATTGAAGGAAACGCAACTGGATTTATTGATACTTTTATTCTAGAGGATAAGGACAAAACAGAGATTAGTAAATTTCTTTCAATATGGCTTGGCTTTCACCTTTTGCATAATTTGGGCCCTAATTAATTTTGTTTACAGTCATTTGGAGGAACCCATACTGGTTATACAGCTAAGCAAATTAAGTGTGAGAGAATCTAGATGTAACATTAAAAAAAGGGTATTGGTGTAGTAAGACTTTGACCCCTATCTTTTGAGCATATAATTAATTTTTGGTTTTTGGACTTTTTGAAATTTGATCCTCATAGTACAAATAATAATACGCAGTGTGGGTCTCATGAGTGGAGATATATTAGGATTTATTAGAATTGTATGCATCGTTAATGCCTCCAAGCTTGTTTCTTTTGGGAGACTCCTTGGATTTTCTCATGTGGGTCTTTGTACTATCTTTCATCCTACACGTGTGAGTACTGTTTCTGCATTACATCTTTGTTTCATTAGTAATGGGATTAGCTTATAATACTAATAATTCAGAAACATATATATTTATATATACATTCAGAAAAAACGTTTCTGAATTATCAGTATTATAATTATCAGTATTAAAATGTTTATTTTGGACACTCAAAGGTGGGTGAGTAGTTGAGAAACCAAAAAAGAAAAAGATAACTTGGATTGGCTTCTCTTTCACTCTCTGATGGGTTCTAGAATAATTTACATATGATGTTAGTAAAAGAGTCGATGAACTTATGTTCTTATGTTTAATAGTAGTATTCTTCAATATGTGTTTTTAATTGGTTGCTGTAAAACAACAAAGTGGGTATGTCCCTTAGCACCAAACTTTTGCTTTACTTTGAATGCCTGCTTTTGTCAGGTATACTTCCCTATGGATTCATTTGTCTCTTACTCATAAGTCTCCCATGTGAAATTGTATTTATCAATATATAACTATTATGTATGTATAAACTTTGGAAACTTCTCTCATTTAAATTAGACACACCGCTATACTTCTTAAAGCCTTTTTTCATGATTTGGTTGCCATCTTAGATAAGATGACAAAAAATCTCTGCTGTAACATCATACCTTTCGATTAGATTTCTCGGCCCAACTTTTTGTATTTTTTTTCATGCAAAAAGTGCAATAATTGAATAGATTTATTGGTTTCAGAATTCTCTGCTGTTACTGTTTTTTTCTCAATGATTTTTAAAGTGTGTTTAAAACCTTAATTCTCATAACTCAATTAGATGAGAACACATATATAAGTTAGGACCGTAACGAGATTATGGAAAGACATTTCGCTTTGTAATAAGCTCATAAACGTCAAGTCAATTACGCGTTACCATATGAGTTTCTAAACTAGTAGGTATCGTGAAGAACTTTGTCTTCAACCTAAAATATGACAAAAATGTATTTGTTTTAAGTACCAGATTATATGTGACAACAACGAAAAAAGGTACCAGATTGTATAGCCTTTTTTCCTAACAGAAATTAAAGCTACTAAAAATAAGAAAGTTCAGCATATCCATGCCATTTTAATTAGTCCAAGCATATGTTATGGGTCATAAGAAAGGTTGGAAGGTAAAGTACACTCGAGAAAAGAGAAAGGTTGTCAATAAAAAGAGAACTTGAGCGAGAAGACATTACGGATACGAGGTTAATCTCCAGCTATTTTTTGCTAGTAGAAAACATCATTAAACGTCACAAGTCTCAACATATCACAAGCCCAAACCTTACATACATTTTGGCAGTTAATCTATTGTCTCCAGACTCTCCACTCTTTTTCATTTTTTTTTCGCTTTTTCATTTTTTTTTCGCTTTTTCATACTCTATAGTATGCTCAAAGGTTTGGAAATACTGCAATCGTACGCCTTGCCTCATAACGGCATGGGAACAATGGTGTTCGTCTTGAAAGCGAGGAGAAAGTCTAACATTTCAAAAGCCTTCATTTTGCTTTTTATTTTGAGAAAAAAGATATTTAATATGGCCCATGCAGGTTTCGAACCTGCGACCTTCGCGTTATTAGCACGACGCTCTAACCAACTGAGCTAATGGGCCATGTTGCTAAGTCATTCAAAGAGATTAATATTACCCATTGGCGTTCTGATGGCTTTAATGAATAAAAAAACTTGTACAATATGATGAATAGTACTGGATAATTTCATGGAAGACGCAAATATCCAAATATGAACGTAAGTAATTTATGTATAATGAAAAATGTATATACAAAAATGTGAGGGAGAGCGGATAATGAAAGAACGAAGATATGAAGAAGATAGTTTTGTTTGAATAGTAAACTCTTTGAAGAAGATATGAAGAAGATAGTTTTGTTTGAAGATATGAAGAAGATTCAAATCCAAAAGGTCAAGACAAAGACATCATCAAAATCTCCTACCTCTTTACCAAAACCACCTAACACAAGTTTCTTCCAACTAATGCATCCCTCACATACATATAACCTTGTTTTTAACCGTTTTTAAGACTAATTAAACTACTTAAAAAATAATAACAAGTTAACGACAATCAAATAAATGTAAGTTTTAGCAAAGATCGTTGGACTACGTCGTTGATTTTGGAGCTTGTTTATAATTAGTCGTAAAATTCAAGATGACGCCAAAGAGTGGATCATATTTTCCCTCCTACCTTTTGATCTTTCGTCACTTGGGGGAAAAAAAAAACAGAACAGCAGAAGGACACTTAGCAATAATATTTCTAAACAAAAAATATAAACTATTGCCGACGTTGAGAGAAATTCATATACCAAAACTATTAAAGCCTGATTTAAATGAATAACGCCAAAATATTTATTCATGTAAGTATGTAACCTATTGGCGACCTGCATGTATCACCAATTACTCATGATACTGTGATGCAAATTAGGCAGTTATAGTTCCAAATTCACCACCATTTTTATGGGCAAAGTAAGAATGATATTAAATAATTTTGACCAAGGTTTATATTAGTGTCGCCATAGTGCCACAGACACAGTCAACGTTAATATGAAAATTTGTTAATGAAACTATATATTAACTGAATTTCTTAGTCGAACCAAAATAATGTCATATTGATGCCCAAATAAATAAAAATAGTTGAACAAATTAATTACAAAAACATCGAGACTTCTAGATTTGTTTCAAGAATCACTTTTATAATGATCCCGGTTGGAATTTTCGCAAACATACAAAAAATCTTTCGTTACATCAAAAATAATATATAAATCTGGAAATAGCACATTTTATGATAATATAATATCTTGGTTTTGGTAATCATCTCTGTACTATAAGTCTATAATCCAAATAAATGTTCATTTTGTAATCTTTGGGTCATAGGAAAACCCAACAACCATCTCACAAAATTAGTTGCATCTCACTTGGCCAACTTCTCAAGACCCTTGTGACACAAGAAAACTAAAACCCTACAATACCCTCTTCTCTCAAACTTATAAATCTCTTTCAAGTCCCACCCAATTTCTCCCACTCCTTATCTCCCACAAACACTTTTACATTTTCCCCGAACAGTTGCATTTATTAAAGGGGTTTCAAGAGAGAAGAACTATGAAGCTCCTCCTTGTGATCTTTATCATCCACGCCATCTTTGGCCCCTGCTTTTCCTTTGATGTACCGGGAAAGGATCTTCCTCTTACCCTAGATTACTACAAGTCTACTTGCCCGACCGTATTTGACGTTATCAGGAAAGAAATGGAATGCATAGTGAAGGAAGATCCTAGAAATGCAGCCATACTTATTCGTTTACACTTCCACGACTGCTTTGTCCAAGTAAGCACTTATCCACACTTTTTGCTTGAAATACAAGAAATACAAGAAGTAAGTAAAGAAGTTTGCTTTGCCTTTATGGATGCTTACATAAGGGTTCAAATTGTATTGCAGGGGTGTGATGCATCGGTGTTGCTTGACGAAACAGAGACATTGCAGGGAGAGAAGAAAGCTTCTCCAAACATAAACTCATTGAAGGGATACAAAATTGTAGACAGAATCAAGAACATAATCGAATCCGAATGTCCTGGAGTTGTTTCTTGCGCTGATCTTCTCACAATTTCTGCTAGAGATGCTACAATCCTGGTACATATACTCTCTCACGTGGACGAATTATCATATTCAACATATTATATGGTATATACATGGATTATGAAATGTAACAGCAAGTTAATCTTTGGTTTGATTAAAGGTTGGTGGACCTTACTGGGACGTTCCTGTGGGAAGAAAAGATTCAAAAACAGCAAGCTACGAGCTGGCGACAACGAACCTTCCAACTCCTGAAGAGGGTTTAATCAGCATCATCTCTAAATTCTATTTTCAGGGTCTCTCTGTTGAAGACATGGTCGCCCTTATAGGTAACATCAAACCTCTAAACCAAACCAAACCGGAAATTATAGTAACTCAAAACCGGAAACTGATTTTGGTATCCTAACATCAAACCGATTGTTAAAATCCCTAAATCTGACCAAATCTATCTGATATTGAATGGAAGTATGGGACTACTAAAAAGGAAATGAAAACCGGAAAACTGAATCAACATTTAAAACCAAAAGGAAAACCGGACAATTGATTTCGGTATTGTGTTAGGCCGGATAAGTTACGGTGGCATTAAACCGATCACTAAATCTCTTAAATTTACCAAAATCAATGGTAGGAGCTCACACGATCGGGATGGCACAGTGCCGGAACTTTCGATCGCGGATATACGGAGATTTTCAGGTGACGTCAGCACTTAATCCGGTGTCGGAGACGTATTTAGCGAGCCTACGAGAGATTTGTCCGGCGAGCAGCGGAGAAGGTGACAGCAACGTGACGGCGATCGACAACGTGACGCCGAATCTCTTCGACAATTCGATCTACCACACGCTCCTGAGAGGCGAAGGGTTGCTGAATTCGGACCAGGAGATGTACACGAGCATGTTCGGGATACAGACGCGGCGGATTGTGAGCAAGTACGCGGAGAATCCGGTGGCTTTCTTCGAGCAGTTCTCGAAGTCGATGGTGAAGATGGGGAATATTTTGAATTCCGAGAGTTTCGTCGATGGAGAAGTTAGAAAAAATTGCAGATTCGTGAATACATGAAACATCCATTTAGCAACCGAAACTATTTTAAATACTTTCAATTATCACGGCCCATAACGGCCCATAACGACCGAAACTATCTAGATGCAGTTAGTTTCTATGATTGGTTTTTGCATTCTAGAAAATGCATTCTTATGATACGTTATTCATTATAAAAAAAAAATTGAAATCGATTTTCTTTTTCTCCTTATTTCTAGTTTCTGTGTTTGGAAAGCTTTAATAAGAATACCAAAAAAAAAAAAAAATCAAGAATCAATTGGTTCACAATTGGGAGCCTATTTTTGTGGATATGGAAACTAGCTTAGCTAAAGACATGAAGACTCGATATCATCATTCAAGACATGGATTTAAACACATGAAGCTGGGAACAACAAAGTGGACACTTAGGAGATTCTTGAACCCAGTCGTAGATGCAGAGAGTGTGGAAATGATGAGAACAAGGAGAAATAAAGTTTGCTTGCTCACCAAGAAAGAAATCTTCTTGACATATACAACACGTACCAAACCGATCCATATCAGGGCCAAGCACCGGGACAAACTTACCTTTAGGATACAAACTTACTTTGGGACCGAAGCTTTTCACATCTTCCATCAACGACTCAACGAAAGAACCTGGGAACTGTGTAAAACCGACCTCAACTAAACCATCTCGAATAGTCTTCATCAGTGAATCGTCTGACTTCCCTAGAGTTGTGCCCACCATTTCAAAAATCTTGTCATAAATGGTGTAACGAAGTTCTATATCTTTGTCTTCTTTGAGCATAGCCTCCATATCCACTGGTGGTACCATTATTGTTTTCTTGACAGAAACTAACAAAGGAACCCATCTTTTCTCCGACCGAGTCTTCCTCTTATTCATTAAATGATCCACGAGGCCATGGACGATGCTGGCCTTGTCCTCTGCCGTCAACTTCGTCAGAGGTGAGATCTTATCGATTTCAAGCGCTAAAACATCCTTAATGACTCGTGTAGGGAAACAAGGAAACCGGAACTGATAATCATATCCTTCACTATTCGACAATAAGGAACGAACCAGTTTCTTGCCGCCCCACTCATGCTCGCTCGCGTAGACAAATTTAACCACGACCACTACAAAGAACTGAGCGTAAGTAACTGTCTCCTCGTACTGGTCGCAATCCATGTAATCAAACATCTGAGAGTAATGCGACTTCACGGGTAAATCGTTACCAGCCAGCTCAGGTTCGTATCTTAGACATGGCCCATACACATTCGTTTTAAACTTTCTTGTCAAAGATCTCATCTTTGCGACTTCTCCACACTTCCTGTGGCTTACCATACCGCAATTTTCACAGAAATCACCTAGATTCTTGTACTTGAACGGAAGAAACGGACGCCTGCGACTTCTACCATTAATGTAAAACCCGGGAGCTAGAGGGTTTTTCAGATTTATCTCAGCTTTAACCCAAAAGCTTCTTTTTGAATAGTCATAGTTAAACGAAACCAATGGTTCATCGCTAAGCTTTTTCCCAATCTTCTCGGCATCTTCTTCTGTGTAGTTAAAATAGGGCAAGCCTATTACCTTGACCCAGAAGCAAGCAACCGAGAAATCAATATCGGCCATGAGTATGTCTTGTGAGCATTCCTTGAGGACTAATATGATACCATCAACGTTCCAAGGTCCATTCTTTACAACTTTCTTCTTGTCTCTTTTTTCCTCGAATTCAAATAAGATTATATTGTCGTCTTTCTCCAAAGGGAAAACCTTCAAGGCGCCGGAAAGTTTCCATTGCTGTCGCAGTGTACTTTCTGTTCTGTCCAAGGACGGTGGAGCGAGACTTATGAAGAACTTTCCAGCCAAAGACAGTTTTGGATGTGCTACAAGACCTGACTCGTATGCCTCCATCTTCATCGATTAGGGTTCGTTAGGATGAGATACCATTGATTTCGTTTTTATCTTATACCTCAATAGATCGTGACATATGTCAAAAGAGTTGCAAGATTTTGACATGTGTCTATAAATTTCTTTTAACACATTCCTATATTCTTTATTTCTATTTTAAAATCATAGTAATAAGATATTAGATAATTTAGTATTTCCAATTCTCTAATTAATTTCTTCAATTTTGTTAAAGTAGACCAGTATAATTTACTTTTTCTTAACAAAAAGAGAAAACAAAAAAGACAAAAAAAAGAAGAAAAAAAACATACATGTATTCTCTTTAGCTTGATGTAAAAGTAATTACTCTAGAAGAACAAAAGTAATACCAAATGTGTGGTACATGCACCCAGATTCAATCCTATTATTATTTCCAAAAATAAATTTAAAATCTGATTTTTCTAACAAAGGATCACTAAAATCTAATCTCAAACAAAAAAAAATTATTTTTAAAGTTCACAAAAAAAAATATCTTCAGCATTGTCAATTTTTCTATATATATTTTCTCTCATTTTCTTTTCATTTGAGAATTTAGCACGGTGGTGACAAGTGGATTTACAACTGGCTATGTCTATGATATTTTCTTTTTCTCGAACCGACTATGTCTACAGTCTACGATATTTTGTTTATAATAGTTTTGAAATGATGTTTTGTTAATAGGAGAATTTTTTTTTTGGTACAGTGTGCTAATTACACAAATGTATCTGTGGTCTATAATATCTTGACTCCTTAGTTTTACTTTTGAGGTTAAAACATTTGTGGATGCTCTGCTTTATTGTATCAAACTTTCGATAAATGAAAAGTTTAAGTTGAGCTGTACACATGAAAAGAATACGACAAACTCAAAAGTGAATCTATTATATTAAAATAGAATCACATTTAGTATTTGCTTTCAAATACTCTTAAATTTTTTTTAAGTGTTTAATAATAATTTTAATAATTATTTATATTTAATTTCGAAAATTAGTTATTAATTTAAATATTTTTAGAGTTCCTTAAATATAGGTAATTTAGATTTGATTTGATTTAATTTGATTAAAAATAATAAATCAGATATTAATTTAGATTTGATTTAAAGATTCTAATTTAAATAATTTTTATACTATTAAACATTTTTATCAAAAATATCTAGAATTTTTGAAAAAAAAATAATTCACATATGAAAAATAATGGTCATATTTGAAATATAAAATATTTATAATGATGTAAATGATATGATATTTATGTTGCTTATATAATATATTTAAAATTATGATTTATTTACAAATTAATAATAAAATAATAGGTAAAATTCAAATGTATAATTTAAATATTAAAAATATATTTTTTAAAATTCATAGAACTAAAAATATATATAAAAACCGAGTTAAAAATATTTTGGTAACTAAAATCACTAATTTTGAATTATACATGTATATCGAAAATATATTTTTCATACAAAATAAAAATATAAAAATTAAAAATTATTGCATACACTATAATGTGGTTTGAAAAACCAGTTGTACACTCCTTTCATTGATTAAATTTTAGAAAATTATAATTCTTAATAATACTGTTAATACATCTCAAATTTTTAACAAATATTTATATTATACGGTAATATGAACGGAAAAATTAGAATTATGTTTTTATAATAGTTTATTTTGAATTAATATTAGCGGATGGGTTAAAATTATATTTTTATAATCATAATTAATTTTAATACTATAAAATATATCTAAACACAAAAATCAATATTTTCACTTATTAAAAAATATATTTATAAAAATAATTATATCTAAACTCAAAAACACAAATTATATTACAAAATTCGTTAAACAATAAAAAATATTCCGGTGCGGATGAATGGGGTTAGAATATAATATTAAGTTAAATACACCGGTATAAGACAAGACGAGGTTGATAATTGACATACGTTTAACAGTAATATCGGTGAAAAAAAAAAGTATACACAAAATCACGATTACCACTTGTATTCTATGTACTTTTATTTACCACTTCTCCCAAAAAACATTTTTTCAGTTTTTGTTTTGTTTTTCTTCTCCTCTTTTCCTAGGTACAACTTGGCGAAAATCACAGCCTACAACTTGACAAAATTTAAATTTAAAATTAACTAAAAAGTGAAAAGAAATATGGGAAAAAAAAAATGTCACAAAACATTGATTATCGCCTGCTTCTTAGAACATCGTAACGCAAACATATCGACATCCCTAGATCTCTTTCCACCGCACGCGGCTACGACGTCGTTCGTCTTCGCGTTTGTGACATTGAAGATATCAACTCCGAAAAGCCGAACCACAACCTGAACCGGGTTGTTACTCGAACCAGACCGGATTTTCCAATCGATATAAAGCTGCCGGTCTGGTCCGGTCGATCTCTCGAAAGTAACGACGTCGCCGGCCCGGAGATTTTTCTCTTTAACGAACCGACTCCATCCCTTGGTCAACACGTAACTTTGACTACTGTTCCAGTAAGAGTAACGGAACCTCCACACTTTTCCGTTCACGTCTTCGAAGTTGATCAGAACGCCTTTTGTCACCAACGGTAACGGGCCTAACGGCGAAGGTAACGGAAAGTGTTTCTCCGCGTGTTGTTTAGGTATCACGAGACGGTTCAGCTTCCCAACGTCACTAGGCGTAACAGCTTTCTCGAAAAGCACTTCACGGTTTCTTGAAACGGTGTCGTTTTGAAGTGGTCTCTTTCCGTTAGAGAGAAACCGCCGTTTGTTGTTCTGCTCAAGCTCGTCAGCGAAAGTGTGTTTCCTCAACATGTCGACAATCTCGGCTTTGGAGTGAGTTTCAAGAAAAGCCAACTCTCCGTTATCGTCCTCGGAGAGTGACTTCTTGAAGTTGATGACGGCGTCGCGGCCGCGGAATTTACGTGCGGCGATGTCGTAGGAACGAGCAGCTTCTTCTTCTTCGTTGAAAGTTCCGAGCCAAACTCGCTGGTGCTTCTCGTAAATCTGAGCTCCCCATCTTCCGTTTGGTTGAGGAACAACGCCTTTGTATTTAGACGATGGAAGCTTACGTGACTCTGTCTCGACGCCGTTCTCGGAATCTAACACGACGCTGCTTCCTCCGCTTCCCATCCGGTAGAGGCGCAACGGCGGAGGAGGAGGAGCAGAGAACTTTGCGGCGGTTGCTGTGGTGGTGGAGAAAGATTCCGAAGTGGAAGAACTCTCGTCTATGCAACATGAAACCATTTTTTTTCTTTTTTTTTTAAGTTTCTTGAATATTCTGACCAAAATGAGAAAACACAAATTAGGTGATGAAAATGTGGGTGACGTTGTTGTCTTTCTTTATATGGAGATGTCATCTATTTATATATAACAAAAGGGATATGATGAGGAATTGACGAGGCAAGTGAATGTACATGTTTATTATTCGTATCTATTATATATTAAAGTTATAATAATTGCTTAAAGAAAAAAGATGGTGAAATTGAATAAACTAAGAAAAATGGGAAGGTGGGGTCGACGCTTAAATGAATGGCAAACCAACTTTGAAGGAAGTTTCTATTGAATAGGGCAGACCGAGAAAATGTAGTACTACGGCTTTTGTATTTTTCGTACGTTTGTTATGTACATTCTTAGAAACACATTTCAACGACTTGAGTACATTTTTACAACACATTATCTCGCAAGGTATCATCATGATAGTTACTTAGACTTGGAGTATTGTATATAACCATATAGTTGATAGTATAATTTATTTTCTTGAATAACGAACCTTTACTTCTTCTTTTTTATGTTTTACAGCCCATAGTTTCCTAACAGACGATCCTGTATTACCATATAGATAATAGACTATATATGGTCAAACGTCAACTCTCGATTATATTCATAGATAATTGTAATATCAACTCATATATAGTTTCTATATAACGTTTAAGATAGTGCTTCTTCATCACTAAATTATAAGGGTATTCAATCTAGATATTGAATTGATTTTTTGTTTAGTTTTTTCAGTATTTCAGATTTCACGAAAAATCGTTATCGTACTAACTCCATATATATTTCGATATAGTTGGGTTAGATATCTTCGGTTTTTGATTTATTCAGTTTTCTACCAAATAAATCATGATTTTTGTTTAGTTTGATAATTCTAAATAAAACTAATTCAACTATAACTAAAAGCGATGGAAAATATTACTAAACAATCGAAGCATGTTGAATTTATCTATTTTGTTAAATTGACGCACAGAGAAGAGTCAGGGATTGGCACACAAAAAACAAATCAAAGCAGGAAAAAAGGTCAGAGAAGATAATCAAAAATAAAATTAAGTCAGAGTTTTGACGAACCAATGGTTACATGAAAAAATGGGAGCCACCAACAGGGCCAAGTGGGATGGGGGCTCACATGACAACTGGACCTTTTTCCTCTCTTTATTTCTTTTTTTGCTATATTTTAGTGCATCCCCCATACTTAGTTCATTCCCCTTATGAAGCAACTGTTGTATGATTGTATCCGTATTTTATTCACCATCTTTATATATTTATTGTTTGATTGTTTTGTAAACTGATTGAAAAAACCAAAAAGAGGGACTTTTGGATTCGAAAGGATTAGGATCTTATCTGATACTGTTGTCTCATACAATAATATCCTAACATACTAAATTTGCTTTCATTTTGTGTTTTCAGTTTCCTTGTTAATTTCCAGCTCCCCTTTGTCCACACAATTATAAAACGCATGTATTAGTTACAACTAGGAAATACTCATCATTTTCTCTCCTTTTTTTCCAACCACTCATAATTCTCTTTATGCATCTTAATATCTGCAAATATGAGTGTTCCCTCTTGGGAGGGAGATATTTAATTACTTGAGCTTATCCAACCAAAGATATTTGAAACCCTCCCACGTTGCGTTTATGTTTCCATTTTCTCCTTTTTTAAATATTTCTTTACTTTATTTTATTATCTTTATGTTTATTGGTTCATCAGTCATAATTTTCATATAACGTCCAATTATTTATAAAATGAACAAAAAATTTTATTGAAAATATATATATATATATAGGCAATCGAGAGATTGTTCTCACCTTTAAAATATTAATTTTTATATTATCCAAATATTATCTACTACGTAGTAGTCCATTATTAAACTCCCATGGTTCTGATTTATAATAATTATAAATTTGAACCCATATCTCTAAATTTACAATATATTACGCTTATCACCTATCATTATGAATATGATCCCATCATCATATATTATAGAAGCCAAGATCCCACTTAAATAATCACTCAAATCACATGACGAGTTTATATGCATGAACAAAGAAAGAAAAAACATCGATAATTTCGGGGTCATATCATACTTATTAAATTATGTGATTTTCCATTAATTATGTTATAAGAGTAGGGACAACAGAAAATCACGAGGATTGAATGGTCGTACATTTCAAGGGGAGATGAACGTAACAGAAGAGGAGTACACCAAATTTCCCCATTTCATTATACGTAACATTTAACTAATACGCTAGATCCTAACATCAATTTGACTATCTGTCAAAAAAAGTAATGATATATAATATCAGCAATATTAAGCTAAAGCACCACAAACTATTAAGCTAAAATCATTTTACCAAAAAAAAAAAAAAAAAAAACTATTAAGCTAAAATGTTCGACCAAAAAAAAAACTATTAAGCTAAAATTTTCTCCAAAAAAATATTAAGCTAAAACACCACAAACTATACTATTGATTTGAATTTACTGAACTAGTATACAACATTCTAGAATAAGAAAATTGATTATAAAGTCGTTAGAAACTTAAAAAAATGAATAAAAATAATAATTATTAATTTTTCAGAATAAGAATAAGTCCATGCACGTAGGGGAAACATCGTGCCGGGTAAGGCATCTGGAACGGTGGCGTTTAGTCAACAATCTAAAGAAAACTTGTGAGACGCTTCAGGAAACGAAAAAGTCAGCTTCATCATTGTCACTGGTTAGCATGGACCCAAGCCTCATCTCATCCTAATTTGAGTAATATTCCGATTCCATCTCAGCCATTGATTTTAGATTCTTATCTTCCATCGTTGAGATCGTACATTTTTGGACATTTTGTTAAGAGACAGAGACTACATGTATTTATTATCATTTTCATTGTTTCAGCTTCGGCATAATCAAACTTGAGTCATTGACTAACTAATTCAAATTAAATCTGGTGGAATTATGAATCTCGTGGCCTAGTTTAGGCCGCTAGAACCAAATTAAAATATTTACTCCATCCTAATCAGCCTAATTTAATTAATTGATCTATTTTGGGGCTCCCACATACTTTTAATTGGATACAAAGGTGAAAAGAAGGAAGCTGATATATGAATTAGCGTGCAACTTATTAAATATGAAACACATCTGAAACACGATTATCTGATTATTAAGCTGCAAAAAATATTTAAGCTTTTCTCATTGCATCTTCAAGATAAGATGGTATAGTATTTAAAAATTGTAGCAGCCGCTCGTTATCAAGATTCCATGACCTTAACTAACCCTGAGTCTATCATATAGCATCCGATGTAGTTGGCTGATTGATGGATATCTGGCCAATAAAACTTATCAATTGTAGGGTATATCAATAGAAAATTTTACTACGTGCTACCATATATCTAGACTAGTATTATTTTTAATTTTGATTAATCCGTATCCAGTTCTAGATTAAGCTTAGGATATGGAATATAATAGCCTAAGATGTTAATAGCTCTTAGTTGTGTTTGTGTAGTGTGACATGTTAACCAATTAAGACATGCAAAATCAACAATTGTGTCGGAGGATAAGCAATGAAACATTTTTTTATTTCATTTTTATACACATGTTTTTATTTATTATTGCTAGATCAAATATATAATTATGCGTTTTTTAGAATTACTAGAAAGAAAATAAATTCGAAAGTTATCGAATCAGTGCTTTAGTTTAAAGTGACTATCTGGAATTAGTTAAGGCGACTTTTTCCACTCGCTGTTTTGTTCATAAAGCCGAGCAAAACTGCAACTAAATAAATAAAATAATACTAAATGAGGATAACATAATCCTGATTAGTTTAGTTTAATCATGTGGCGAAATGTAGTGATTAGCATGAGAACATCATATGAGAGGCAATGTTTGACTGTGATCACGCGTCAACATCGACACCGACATGCTGTGTATGTTGTGCGTACATTGTGGTCAATGTTCTTACAATTCTTTTCACATTTATTTACTATTTTATACATCTTTTCTGTAATTTGTTATGGGTTTATTGCAATTTGTAACTTGCAAGGGTTGGGGAAAATATTTGTCTATCTATCCGTTAAGTCATTCGTCGTTACGTGATTCATCTAGGACCCGATATAAAATTACGGATTTTCGTAACCAAATACCAATAGTTAGGTCATCAGACTCATCACATTGTAAATATAGTAAAACCTATTTCATGTCGTGGATATTAATAATTTAACAAAAAAGAAATGTCGTGGATATTTTGACCAATATAACTACTGTAAATATTTTGTTGTTGGTATTTATAATCTTTACTGGTAATGCTCATTTCTAACTCCTCACTTGCTCATTTTTTTTTTCTAACTCCTCACTTGTTCTTATGAAGAACATGTTAACAGTTTTTTTCTTACTCCAAAGAAAATAAAGAAGTACTTACATCATACTCCAAAGTGTAGATTTTATGTTCATCTGTAGGAAAATAAAAAAGTTTTTACACACAATATTATATTTTAGATTTTGATCTTTAATTTGTCTCTAAAATTTCCAAATTTAATAGTAGTTTATTTCTTTAAAATAAACTTTGATGTTTTAAAAAATTCAACTACCTGCATTAATTAAACCTTTGATTTTTCTAATCGGACACGATAATATCAACACAACTAGTATACAAGTAATAAAAACAGGTACATATCTACATGAGAAGTCACGCGGTACCCATAAAAATGTGGTACTCGTCCTAATTATATTCAACATCATCAATAATTTAACCAATACATACCTATTTAGTTTTTTTTTTATAACCCTATTAAGTATTTAGTTACTCTTAAATCAGTGATTAAGAAGAAGATATATTTTTTACCTAAAAAAAGATGAAGAAGAAGAATAACTTATACTACCCGTCCTCCTCTCTTTGAAACAAGGAGCGCTTATGGTTCTGTCGACTGTCGGTGCTTGAAACAATTTTGTCTTCTCCATATTACTATATCTCTAGAGTCAATAATTTAGACCAACTAACTAGTTCTTTGGTTTTTTTTTTTATCGATTACCTTTACTTTAAAATGATAATGTCAAAGTTTCAGGATTAATCTACTTTTTAAAAATTAAATAATGATTGAAATATTCTAAAAAAGTTAATATAAATTTTCATTGTAATCAAATTTGAGTATATATATATATATATATACTATGTGTGTGTGTTTATGTATTTATTATGTTTTGACAAAAATGTCATCCTTTTGGGAGGTAAATTTCAAACCATCACTTAGATCGAACAAATTACTAACATTATCCCCTTAACCGATTGTCATATGGGGTCAATTCCTAAAAATTGACCTCATGTGGCAATCGACCAAAAGGGATAATGTTAGTAATTTTGGCCGCAGCTTTTGTGTTGATCATTAAATCATCTACACATCAAAAAAATGATGTCCTTAATAGGACAAACAATTTTTTTTCCTAAAATCAATTTTTTAAAGCTTGAAATCGACTTTTTAAAAAAATTAGTGGATTATAATCAAGTCCAATAATAGCTTCACATTTTCTATGAGAATAAAGAATGGATAATGACTCTTATTTATAATGCAACTTTTCTTTCTTATTTTTTTTGATTTGGTCGATGTCGGACAAATAACAATACATACTTTTTAGGAAAAAATTGTAAACTTTTTTTGCTGCCCCAAAAAATATTGATTTTTAGGCTACCCTAAAGTCATTGCTTCATGGGCTTTAGCCCAGAGCTGGCCCTGCTTCCCAAAACTGCTTTTACTTTGCGATCATTTTTGTTGTATAATAAGTTTTCCTTTCTCAAGTTAGCCTCAAAAGAAATGTTAGGTTATAGCATTTGTGAATATACCATATTAAAGAGCAGAAAAAAAGCTCCTGAGTCTCCAGCGTTCTCGAGGTATATATCTCTACGCCATGAAACGTTTGAAAAAAAGCTTATGAGTCTCTTTTTTGTGATCTCGTCTACAAAAGGAGAGAGTCACCCAGTTTTCTACCATCACAAAAACCTTAAAATGCGATTAGAGGCAAAGCTTCTTTGGAATCTGTCAGTTAGGTAGAATCGAGAGGAAGAATACGAAAGAAAAAGGATTTCTGTTATTCATTATTATCAAATGTTGTTACAATGTGGGTTTATATATGAGTACATATGACTCCGGTACAATCCAGTCTAACACAATAACCGGTATATCTTAATATTTCCCCTCAAGATGGGGAGAATATAGAATTTAAAATCATCTTGCCAATAAGAGAATGAAACTGAGTAGAAAACAAAGGTTTTGTAAAAACGTCAGCGAGCTGATTTCCCGTCTTCACATGCAAAAGCTTGACCAACCCATTCTCCACTCGATCTCGAACCATATGGCAGTCCAATTCTATGTGTTTGGTTCTTTCATGGAACACATAATTGGATGCTATATGCATTGCCGCTGTTGAGTCATAGTAAAATGCTACTGATTAAGCTTGAGGAGCATCAAATCCGCTGAGCAAATGAACCAGCCACTCAATTTCCCGAACTGTGAAATCCATAGCATGATACTCTGATTCAGCCCATGGGTGAGATACAGTCGACTGTTTCTTTGACTTCCACAATTTCAAAGAAGAATCCAAAAACATGCAAAAATCAGATGTAGAACGCCTAGTATCAGCACACGAAGCCCAGTCTGCATTTGTGAAAATTTTGAGTGTTAAATCAGAGTCCACTGAATAGAACAAACCAAGTCCAACAGTGCCTTTTAAATAGCATAAAACTCTGTAAGCAGCTTGGAGATATGAGTTCTTTGGAGAGGAAGCAAATTGGCATAATCTGTTGACAGCATGTGTGATATCCGGTCTCATTATAGTTGGATACATAAGCTGACCAACAAGTCATTTGTAAGCATGAATGTCATCAAGAATAGGTTCTGGAGAGTCCTGGCAAAGCTTAACGTTAGGATCGGTTGGAACATTAGATGGTTTGCAAGCTAGGATCCGTTGGAACATTTGATGGCAAAATAAAAAAGTTTTTATACACGATCTTATATTTATATTTTGATTTTTAATTTGTCTCTAAAATTTCCAAATATAATAGTAGTTTATTTCTTTAAAAAAACTTTGATGTTTTAAAAAATTCAACTACCAGCATTAATTAAACCTTTGATTTTTCAAAACGGTCACGAGAATATCAACACAGCCAGTAGCGGACCTATGTTAAACTATAGTGAGTTATATAACACCCTATAAATTTATATTTTATCAGTTTTGTTGTGGGTAAATAAAGATTTTTTAGCTCAATTAAGTTTATTTAGACTAAATTTGACACTCATTATTTGAGTTCAAGGAGTCCTTGAGATACCTTTATTTTTATTTTTTCTTCAGTTAACTTTTATGATTGCACCCCCTAAAAATTAATCCTAGGTCCACCACTGAACACAGTACAACATATACAAGTAATAAAAACAAGTACATATCTAGATGAGAAATCACGTGGTACCAATAAAAATATGGTACTCGTCCTCTAATTATATTCAACATCATCATTAATTTAACCAATACAAATCTATATTAGTTTTTTTTTGTTTCTTTTTATAACCTATGTAAGTATTTAGTTACTCATAAGTTAGGGATAAAGAAGAAGATTTTTACCTAAAAGAAGAAGAAGAATAACTTATACTAGACCAAAATTAATAACTACCTAGTTCTTTGGCATTTTTTTATCGATTACCGTTACTTTGAAATATTAATGTCAAAATTTCAGGATTAATCATATTGGATATTTTTGACAAATTAAGTAATGATTGAAATGTTCTAAAAAAGTCAATATAAATTTTCATTGTAATCAAATTTGAGTATATATATATATATATATAAATATATACTGTATGTGTGTGTATTTATTATGTTTTGAAAAGTATTTCAAATAAATGCCACCAGCTTTGCACATGTTAATTCTTAACCAAGCGTAAAGTTTTGGCCTTGCGACGATCAATTACTACAAGAAAATATGTTATATTACCACCAAATTTTCCACCAAAATTTTGGTTGAAAAAATAATCAACTGATTTTCAACCAAAATACTACAATTTAGTAATTTAGTGGAATAATTATTGCTTATTTGCAACCAAATATATTGACTGAAATTTGGTAGGAAATTTGTGACCGATTACCCATCAAAATAAATCCGTCGGGATTTTTGTTAAAAAACAATCACAAATTTGCCAATGATTTTTTTTTGTCAGAAAATTTTCCACCAATTTCCCACTGATATTGATATTTTAAATAACAATAATTTTCGTCGAAAATCGGTGGCAAATTTACCATTAATTTCTCACCAATTCCCGACCACCATAGTTTATTAAACCTAGATCTGAAATTCTTTATCCTTATAACTCCCAGCAGCCTAATTAATGGACCATCTCTTCTCCAACGATGAAACACCGCTGATGTACACCACTTGTCCGTCCGCTCATCTCCAGTTACTCCTCTAATTGTTTGGTGTGCTTCCTTTCCTCCTCCTTCTCGATTTCTTTCGTTTTCTTTTCTTTTTTTGTATTAGATATTATTTTATCTTCTTTTTCTTCCTTATCTTTTCCCATTTGTATGTGCCACTTCCATTTGTCGTGATCTTTTGGAAGGTTAGCTTTGTTAATTTATTGTCATTTTGTTTGGTTAGGGGTAGATTATATGGGATTTAACCAATAAATTGTGTTGTTTATAAGATTATATTGAAAATTTCCTTTCTGTGTTAAATAAAGGTGTGTACATTTTTTGCAGAACCATCAAAGGAGCATAAACACGACTCATCTCACCAGCTTGTATGTAAATGCTGCCAAATCTCTGGCATCACCGGAACATCACCTAAAAAGCAAAAATTTTAATTTTTTTGTATTTTGTATTTTTAATTTATTTTAATTTCTAGTATTTCTCTGTATTTTTTTTGGTTTTGCTGTATTTTAGTTTTTTATTTTTTTTAAATAAATTTTATCTATTCTGTTGGAATTCTGTGGGGATCAATGGGTTATTTTTCCACCAATTGTCAATGAATATTTCCGACCGTATTTCCGACCAATATTTTGGTAGAAAATTTCCTACCATTTTCCAATCATTTTCAATTTGCATTGAACTATTTTCCATCATTTTCATTTCGTTGGAAAACGGTTGATAACATTCATTTTCCACTAATTTAACGAGTACTTTTGTGGTATTTTTGATATGTTTTTTGTAGTGAATTGTGTGACGAATTTTAATTTAGTGCATTCTAGAATGATACTATATAGAGAGGGAGTGGCATATTAGTTAAAAAAATTATAATCACCATTTCCTACTTACAGGTATGAAATAAAATAAAAAAAACTTTAATTCTAGTAGTTGCCATATAATAATTGTACGGAAAAGGTCAAATCACTTCATCAAGACCGTTGATTTCTATGATGTTAGAGCACCTCCAATGGGAGGATGAGGAGGAGCTGTAATTCTTTTTAGAACTTAAAAAAAAATGATTAATGGATGATAAATGCCCGAGCCGTTCCTAATTTTAGAGATTTAGGAGACTGGGTTGAGCCTCTGACGTGGCACAATCTGGTTAGTTGCGTTTTTTTATTTTTTATTTTTATTTTTTTAAGCAAAGACTCTGATTGAAATAGAGTCTTCAAATGGTTTTAGATAGAAAATGTTCTATCTTCCTTCTTCGTGGTTATCGACATTTTTGACGACCTCTCCTCCGGGCATCGACAACGGCGACCCAAGGTTCTTCTTCTCCGGCGTTCCACCGTTCCGACAACACAAATTTATCGTCGGCGAGTTCAAAAATTGTCGGCGAGGTCAGGAATGATCAACCAAAGAAGAAGCTTGGAGCCAATCGATCGAGCTTCTTCTTATCCGGCGTTCCGCTGTTCCGACAACAGGAATTTATTGTCGGCGAGTTCAGGAGTTCGGAGTCAATCGATCGAGCAAGCCAACTCTATGCCAATATACCGATCAACCGAAGTCAGAAACATGCAATTGTACAAGTAAGTTTTCTTTGCATGTCTTAGTTATTCAAGAATTTTTGAGTGCTTTAATTAGGGTGTGTGTGATGTGCGGATGTGATTGATGGTTTGATGGCTTGAATTAGGCTCTGTAGTTTGGAATCAATGCTCTGTAGTTAGGTTTTGGATTAGAGAGTGGAATCAATGCTTGGTTGAAATCGGTTGTCTTTGGTGTGCTTTATGTCACATTTGATCAATGCAAAGTTGTTTTGATTAGGTAAAACATAAGTGACACAATGAATGCTAACTAAAAGAAGAGAAAACTTGTTTTAGTTTACTCTCTCTTGAATGATAACTAGTAGTTTTTGTTAAAACTTGAAAGCTAACTCTCTTATGCAAAAGCTAACTCTAACTTTAACTCAAAACATAGTAATCAATGCTAACTAGTTTCACAACCAATGCAAACAACTCAAACTTAAACTCAAACTGAAACTCAAGATTTTCTCTTTAATGCACCACAAACTCTTTTCTCTTAGTTAAAAGACTCAATGCAAAGTGGTTTGAGAACTTACAATGAATGCTTAACTAGTTACACAAACTCTTCAATACTTGTGGCTTTTATAAAACGGTGGAGACATTTTTTTTTTAAGAGAAGCCACCTCTTTTCATTCCTTTTCATTCGCCTAAACCCCAACACAAGCCAAGAGAAGCCAACTCTTTCCTTCTCATTTCTTTTTCATTCGCCTAAACTCTTCCCTTGTCATTTCCTTTTTTAGTTTTTTTACTCTTTCATTCCCATTTGCATTGCTTCCTATGGACTCAAGGAATCCATTTTCTGACACTTTAGGCTTCATGGACTTGCTAACCAGCCAACAAATGACCCATACCCAAAGCCTTGAACCCATGCAACAAACCATTGCACTCGGTGAGCCATACCCAGTGTTTGGAACCCAATGGAGTGATGCTCCAAGTCCAGGTGATTCACAAGCCAAAAACCGCACGACCAGGAAGCCATGGACTCCCACTGAAGATCTTGTGCTCATAAGCGCCTGGCTTAATACAAGCAAGGATCCAATCATTAGCAATGGGCAAAGGCTTGATGCATTCTGGAAAAGGATAGCCATCTATTATGAGGCGAGTGATAAGATCTCTGATGAAGACAAGAGAGGTCCAACTAACTGTAAGCAGAGATGGGCCAAGATAAATGAGTCTGTGTGTACGTTTGTTGGGTCGTATGAGGCAGCTTCAGCTCAAAAAACATCAGGGCAAAATGAAAATGATGTAATGAAGCTGGCTTTGGACATCTTTTTCAATGATTACAAACACAAGTTCACCATGAAGCACTGCTAGAGAGAACTGCGTCATGATCAGAAGTGGAGAGGAAGTGGAAGTTCAAAAAGCATGCTTATTTGCTAGACATCAAGAAGCTAACCGTAAAGATATCGAGCGTGCTTTTGGAGTCTTGCAAGCTCGGTTTACCATTGTCAAAAAACTCGGCTCTGATGTGGGATAAGGTTAAAATAGGAAAGATTATGCGAGCATGTATAATACTTCATAACATGATCGTAGAAGACGAACGAGATCGGTACAATCTGCTTAACGTTGAAGAATTCACACAAGTAGAAGCAAACAGAACTTCACATGTGGATATGACGTATTCTACCAGTATACCTTCAAATCTCACCAATATTATGGCCATCCGTAATTCAGTTCATTCTCAAAATACGCATGATCAATTACAAGAAGATTTACTTGAACATATATGGAATAAATTTGGTTAATCAACACCTAATCTTTTTCCAAGATTATGATTTGTATATTTCTATTTAAGTTGGTTTTATGTAATGTTTGTTTAAATTTCAAATTAATAAAATAGTTTGTATTCATAAAATAATTCTATTTTAAAAATTATAATTAAAAAAAAAAATTTTTTTTTTAAAACCCCTCATTACATCCCACCATTGGATGTTCAAATTTGGTAAAGCTGTAATTGAATTTCTAAAACCTACAAAATCATTAAAACCATTAAAATAAAGAATTAGAGCCCCTTATTACATCTTACCATTGAGGGTGCTCTTAGTACTTCTTTATTTTCTAGTGACTCAATGGTTGTGGAGTATAAAACAATTTGGGAATTTGTGATACAACCATAAGATGAAACTAAAAGTAATTACATTCTAGAAGACTGAAAAAAGGTTCTTAAACTTGAAATTGATACTGTATTTTAGGCTTTTTAGCTTTAAAATGGTTAGCTAAAAAACAAGACCTGCTAAACAAGAATTTAGAAGGCTGCCTACGAGAACTAGATCTAAGTAGGAGACTCATTTCTGTGTGTACCATCCAATGGAGGAGTTAGGGGCGAATCTAAAATATTTTTTATATGGGACACAAAACATTTTTTTTTCCTTTTCTTATCGTATATAACTCATGTTATGATACGATCACTAATATAAATCACTATCTTACAAATGATTTTGTATTACATAGAATTGAGTATATTATATTTATTGGAAATATGTTGCATATACTAGGTTTTGAACAAACTTGTGTTGATATTGTTTCAATGCATTAGCGTTATATGACAAGCATCCGACACTTGTTCATAATGGGCCGAATAAGAAGCCCATTATTAAAACATACATATCCGAACCTGACCCGATCCACGTGTCCTTTGTGGTGTACATTTATTAAGTACAAAAAATAATTAATTTGAAATGAAAAGAAACTAGTGGTGCGAAATCGACGACGTTTAAGGAATCTCTGCAAAAACTGCGTCTTCCAACACTGAAGAACTCTTCCGGTGAAATTCCGCCATGGCCACAATATCTCCGGGAGGAGCTTACATCGGAACTCCCTCTCCGTTTCTCGGCAAGAGACTCAAACCGTTCTCTCTAACCCCAACGATTTCGAGCTCTAAACCAACGGCTAAGCTCGTCTCCGATTGTCGCGCTCAGCTAATCGACGCGGTTCACAATCTCTTCGTCGGAGTTGGAGTCGGTCTTCCATGTACGGTGATGGAGTGCGGCGATATGATTTATCGCAGTACCTTGCCGAAATCGAACGGTCTCACGATCACTGCCCCTGGAGTGGCGTTAGCTCTCACTGCTCTCTCGTATCTCTGGGCAACACCTGGCGTGGCTCCTGGGTTTTTCGACATGTTTGTTCTTGCTTTCGTTGAGAGATTGTTTAGACCGACTTTTAGGAAGGTCGAATATGGGATGATTTGAGTATTTTGCGTGTGTCTCTGGGTTCGATTAATTGATCGGATTAGGTTTGGGATTTTGTAGGATGATTTCGTTTTGGGGAAGAAATTGGGTGAAGGTTCGTTTGGTGTTGTCTATAGAGCTTCATTATCCAAGAAACGTGCTTCCGAGGTAAGTGCTTGATCAAATGCTTCATGTTTGATTTGGATTGTGATGTGTTACCTTCAATTACCACATCAAAACTGTAAACGATGGAGAATTTATTGAAATGAGGATGATATTTGTGGTCTATGATAGGAGAGTGAGTATGTATTGAAGAAGGCGACTGAGTATGGTGCAGTGGAAATTTGGATGAACGAGAGGGTTCGAAGAGCTTGTGGAAATAGCTGTGCTGATTTTGTTTATGGGTTTCTCGAGGTGATTTTGGCTTCCTTATAGATGACATTTTCCCTCGAGTAGTCATGTTTCTAGGTTAATGTTTTCGTCGTTTGTCTTAAATCCATTACAGAAGTCTTCGAAGAAAGGACCTGAGTATTGGCTGTTATGGAAATATGAAGGAGAATCAACACTTGCTGGTTTGCTGCAGAGCAGAGAATTCCCTTATAATGTCCGTACTATCCCCTGTTCTATTTATTCGTTTGCAGTCATCTCCTATAGGTTGTCACATTCTGAGGCAATGATATAGGTAGAAACTATCATTCTTGGGAAAGTGCAAGACTTGCCTAAAGGGTTAGAAAGAGAAAACATAATTATTCAGACTATCATGAGGCAACTCTTGTTTGCATTGGATGGTCTCCACTCAACCGGGATTGTCCATAGGGATGTTAAGCCTCAGAACATTATTTTCTCAGAAGGTAAGTGATCTTAATTTTTGAACCTTTTCGAGCAAGGAACCAAATGAACGGAATGAAAGACACGGGTTTATTGTGTACACTGAAACTTGAGCAGGTTCTCGTGCTTTCAAGATCATCGATCTTGGAGCTGCAGCTGATTTGAGAGTGGGAATTAACTACATTCCAAAAGAGTTTCTCCTAGATCCAAGGTCTTCGTCTTTCGAAATTAGTATCTCTCTCTGCCAAGGATCATATATGTGAATCATTTTATCGTTGTAAACCGCAGATCCAGAAATATTGTTCTCCGTGATAGTCGTACCTTTGTTTTTGGCTTATTGCTTTCAGGTATGCAGCACCTGAGCAATACATCATGAGCACCCAAACTCCATCTGCACCTTCAGCACCTGTTGCAGCTGCACTTTCCCCTGTCCTGTGGCAGGTGAAAACTCAGTTACTAACTATGCGAGCTTAGTTAATATAAACCCATCCTAACTGTTGGGTTTTGATTTTGTTCAAACAGATGAATTTGCCTGATAGGTTCGATATCTATAGCATAGGCCTCATCTTCCTTCAAATGGTAAGTAGCAATCCACCAATATCTGTTTGTTTTATCTAAGATTTTGACTCAGGCACGTTCAACTATCTTTTGACAAGCACATCCTTTCGTAAATAGTCACTGTAATCTGGTTGTACTAATTAATGTTAAAAATTTGTTCATGAACTATCCATGCCACATCAGCAAGTCAGTCAATGCTTAGGATATGAGTAAATAGGATATTCTTCAGGTTTTGAAGGTGCTGAGTATCTTGTTGGTTTAGGCCTAGGGGAAGCAGAGCAGAAACCAGTTTTGTTCTAGTCAGATGAGCCTCCTTGTGTTGGGAAACAAATGCATTATACTATGTTTATCTCTCAAACATGCTTTTACTGTTCCAGGCATTCCCATCCTTACGATCTGACAGCAGCCTCATCCAGTTCAACCGCCAGCTGAAAAGATGCGACTACGACTTAACCGCTTGGAGAAAACTAGTGGAGCCTCGTGCAAGCCCTGATCTCCGTAAAGGTTTTGAGCTATTAGATCTAGACGGTGGGATAGGATGGGAACTTCTTACATCAATGGTCCGATACAAAGCAAGGCAAAGAATCAGCGCAAAAGCAGCTCTTGCTCACCCATATTTCGATAGACAAGGATTGCTTGCGCTGTCCGTCATGCAAAACCTGAGGATGCAGTACTTCAGGGCTACACAACAAGACTACAGCGAAGCTGCAAACTGGGTGATTCAGTTAATGGCGAGATCCGGGACAGAGAAAGATGGCGGATTCACAGAAACACAGCTCCAGGAACTCAGGGTTCGTGGCCAATCTACACTATTCGAATACATCAAACTCATAAACTGTGGAATGACTTAAGTTTGATTTCTATCTGCTTCTGTTTCCTACTATTATAGGAGAAAGAGCCTCGAAAGAAAGCTAGTGCGCAGAGAAACGCGCTCGCATCGGCTCTTCGGCTTCAACGGAAGCTTGTGAAAACTGTTAACGAGACTATGGACGAGATTACCGAAGGCCGCAAGACTGTGTGGTGGAACCGGTGGATCCCAAGAGAGGAGTGAGAACAGACTGTACTTACGGTATTATCTTGATAGTGTAAATCTCAATGTATATCTTATTAGCCCTTAGTAAATTACTACTTGTAAAGTAAGTAACCTTAAAGAAAAACGTTGTACCTAAATCTACACACTTGCAGTCTGAAGTTTCAGTAGTCTTGTGAATACTTGTTGATATCATAGGAATTTGTGAAACCATCAATTAAAAATAAAAGAGAGAAGGCATGTTTCTTGAACAGTACGTTACCCCTTCGGGCTTCGGACCTTAGAATCCATGAGCTCCGCACGAAGATTCTGACAAGTCTATGGTCAACAGACAACAGGTCAAGTGATTTAGCTTGCTGGCTCTCGAGATAAGTGCTTTGTCTATTTTTATTTTGTCTAAACAAAATCCTTCGTACGCCATTGAAGTTTTGAGTCGTTTCCCTCACTCAAGTTTGATTTTTAAATAGACAGCACATGCGATTAATACTTTCATACAGACTATTATTTGATTTTTAAATAGACAGCACATGCGATTAATACTTTCATACAGACTATTATAAGAGCATGTCCATCAAATGAATTTTTTAAGGAAAGAGTTCATCCGAATATAATAATATTTTTTTTTTTGGGTTTTGTTTTTTTATTTTTTAAATTTGAAAACTATTTTTTGGACCAATTAGAATGCTCCATGTGTGATGATACCATCTCTTCAGGTTTGTCGGGAAAAACCTGAGCCATGAACTTCTATCTTTTTATTATTATTTTATTAGATTTCATCTTAAAATATGTGTCATGAACTCTTGAAGAAGCCTTGATGGACATGCTCTAAGTTTTAGGGTTTTTATGGATTTCTTTTGTTGAAGCTTTAGATGATAGCATAATTACTACAATATCGATGAATGGTTTATCATTCTTTTGAGTATGTTTCCAAATTTCACGTTATAAAAAACGTGATCCCGGTAGTTTTTTCCACTTATAATATTTATCAAAATTTTATAATCATATATTAAAAAAATGATTATGCTAATACTATGGTCATCATGAATGTGTTAAAAAAATATAGTTACAAAAATGAAAACGTCATTAATCCTACTAAAATTAACTTTTAGCGTTTATGATTGCTACTCTCTTTAGCTAAAGCGTTTCCAGTATTCGATTATTTCGATAATTCACCATGATTCTGACATACTTGTCAACATCTAAGGTTTCTTTTTTTTTGTTGGTCCGATGGAGTTTTTTTGCGCTTGTTGGATTCTAAAAGGTAAAATGATATCTCTAACGTTTATCCATCACACAAAGCAAACGTACGTAACTTTACTATTAATGACGTATACGGATACGGGAGTAATGAATTGTTGAAAATGGTTAACAACGAGAGGTGAAGAAAAAGTTGGTTGATAAAAAGGACGACAAGATTCAACGGAAAGAAGAATGACAGAGACTAACTCACATAATAAAACCGTAGAATTAAAAAGAAAAAGATAATTGTAACTTTTTATTTTATTTACTTGTTCTTTTAGACGACCAAAAGCTAAAGGCAATTTGTGAATCACGAGAACCTCACGTGCGGCTCCCTCTCCATGTCCGAGGACTTCACTGTAACCAATGACAAGAGCGCTTAAACCACATCAAACCACACCTAGCTCTACTTGGTTAATTGTGTAACTAATTATTTTAATTAACTTCAATCTTGATATTAACTGTAAGATGTGATTATTTTAGGGGGCAATTATATTTATAGGACAAAAAAAACTGTAGTATTGTCCCCTTAATACTTTTTCAAATTTGACCACTTTTAGACAAAAATATCATTTATTTATAATTACGAAAATTTAAAAAATATATTTTTATAATCTAAAATTTTTTGAAAAATTCTGAAAAGGGAAGATAAAGACATTTCATAATATATTTTTGCCAAAAAAAATTTTAAAACAATTTTTTACAAATGTTTTATGAATTAGTAGAAAGCACATTCTATAAATCTATAAAGTTATAGAATAGACTATCTACTATTTCATTAGTTTTCTACTAGATATATTGAATTAGTTATCTACAATTCTTCTATATTCTACAAAGTTATGAAACCGTATTGTATAACCTTTTCATTGTTCTACAGTTTAGTAGAATTATCTTTCTACAATTCTTTCCTTTTCGAATATATTTCTTTCTTTTTCAAATAAATTTTATATCATAAATTTTAATTAATATGGATAAATTCGAATCAGAAAGGTAGAAGAGGTTAAATTATTAGTAGAAGTATTAAGGGGACAAAATTTACTATATAAATAGTAAGGGGACAATAATTATGTTTATTTGTCTTATATTTTTAATTTTTTCTTATTTTAATGTGAATTACCTTTTGGGTTTACGATTAGTGCAAATAAGAAAAAGACGGTTAAGTTCTCAAATCATACCAACTTGCTGTCGGTATTTGGTAAGAGATTGATCGAATCTCAATTATAAATACAAGAATCTATAATTTAAGATTATGCCACCTAATTAACGCCTAACTGTCCCTCATTTAGTTATAGTTTGGTATTTAATAACTGCTCTTGATGTTTGTTTCGCTTACGAATTTCGGCGCGATCCTTTTCTTTTTTTCTTCTCTATGGTATTCCATAGAATTTGTATAGTAATGATTTAATTCTGACTCGCATGACAATAAACTAAACATATATTCGATGCTTTGAATATATCTCCATGTGTCTACCAGATTTTGGTATGGAAATATCATCAGTTTACAAATGGTAGATTACGTATTGTTAGAGATATAAATTGATTAAAAAAAAATAATAGTTAGTCTTCATTATTAGTTATTCTTATCAGTCACAATCGGCTATCAAATTCAAATCTAATTTATAAGGTGCGAGACAGCTTACGTGTCGATTTTGGCTGGTTAAACCCGACAATTTTGGTTGGTGACATATCTTGCTGACGTCGAATTCGGTTTGGCATTCAATCCTGAAAATCAGCTGATAAAAAAGGTAGAGATTATACACTTCTGATTTTGGAGGAACTCAAAAAATTTAAGACTAAACCGAAATCATAGTATTATCTTCTTTTAAATTGGATCAGTTAAGTTACCTTTTCAGTGGTAACTAGTCTAATGTTTTAAAATGATAAATACCGGAATTTTTTTTTTTTGTTTGGTAATATCAGGGTGTGTTATGTTGGTTTAGTCTTAAATGTTTTGAGTTCCTCTAAAATCAGAAGTGTATGGTCTAGTTTAGGATCTTAGACAAGTTGTATAAATAGGCTAGATGGTTGAAGAGTTTTGGATAACACTCTAACAGTAAAATTGAGAGATTATGCCTTGAAATTTTCACGCAAACTTAGATGAGTGTTCTAGTTCCTTAAATTCACGGTTGGTAAAATCTATTTGTGGAGGTGCAGCCGTTTTAAATTTGGATTAATGTGAAAAATATATATACATTGTTAGAGTTGTGTAAACCAGATTAATTGTTATATGTTGTAAGGTTAATATAAAAGATTTTAGCAAAACATTCGGCATGGTGCGTTCGAAGTCACAAAATACTGTATGTTTACCAAATTTTTTGACACTTACAAATTTAATTTAGTTTAAAAATTTTCCAACTTAAAATTGAATCTATAACCCACGTATACTGTTCTAAAACCTCATTTCATTTATGAAGTGAGATTCGTAACATTTAACAATACGGCTAATGTAACGGTAATGTAATTGAGTATGATCCGGCTTTACAAATTGGGGTATTGGGTAATGTTTTCATGAAGAAAAAGAAGCATGAGCATGTTATAAGAGGATAAATAACTACAATTAGGGCAAAGATTCCTTCACGATGGGGCCCCACGTGGGTATGGATGGGCACAGTGTCCGGTGGGTTGGGGAACAGTGCACAAACCCCAACGGACCCACCCGTTGCCTCTTTTCTGGACCGGTCTGGTTCGGTACGGTTCGGTTTCTGTCCTGAGCCACCCTTTTTCCCACTTGTATATATAGCTCCTATTCCATTCATCACCTTCCTCATTATCATCTACAGCGTTTAAAGAAAACATATACCCTAAATAATTGCCCTCTCCCTTTTTTATCTCTTACACTCATTGATCACTTCCAAAAAATTATTGTTTCTTAATCTGTGATCGGTTTAGTGAAAATGAAGACGACCGGTTCGAATGTGGGAGGAAGGAAGAGGAAGATGTGGAGCCGTGGAGTGGGAGGAGTGGTTAGAGAGCAAAAGGCTAAGCTTTACATCATAAGGAGGTGTGTTGTCATGCTTCTTTGTTGGCATGACTAACAAAAGATAAATCATATCAGTATTGTCTCATCATTATCGGCTTAACGAAGACTAACCAAATATTTCGTTTTTTGTGTTTCGTTTTTTGGTTTTTGCGGGTTCTTACTTATAACCCTTGGGAAGAAGCTTACATGTATTGGCTTCCATACGGAGCTATATATGTATTATTTTTTGTAGTTCTGTTTCTTCCGAATGAAGGGTTTTTTTTTTCAGATGTAAAGTTGCTAATCTGTTCAATATCTTTTGTTTTTGTTTATCGCTGATCAAGTTTCTTTATTAATTCTAACATTTGGTTCTGAAATAAAGACCTTAATTCACACTAAAAATTCATAAAGGTTGTTTCACTTTTTCATATAAATTTACAGTTAAAGGTTTGAACATCTCCTTTATAATTCTATATCATAATAATAATAATAATAATGGAAGTAACAACATACATGATCTAATTTATACAAATATGAAGTGTGAAGGATTTCATTCCTTAAACAAATATTATTATGAATTATTGAAAAGCTAATTTATTGTATTTATTTTTTTTTTATTTTTATATTTTATTGACTTTATTAGACTTCTTCCCTATTTTTCATATTTTCATAGTTTGTTATTTTCATATTCCGATTTCTTTTCTCATTTTTCAACGTTTTTATCTTTATACTTTTCAAAATTGTTTTTCATCAACTTTTTGTTCTTCTTCTTTCTACCTTTTTTCATTTTCCTGTTCATCATCTTCGACTTCTACTTTTTTTTGGATTTTTTTTATTTTCATTTTTATTTTGTTTCGTTTTTTATTCTTACTTGTTTGATGTTTGATGTATGTATTCTTTTTTTTTTAACTTCGTCTTCATCTGTCGTTTTAATTATATTTTAATTTTAATTTTTTCTCCTATTTTTAATTTTTTTATTGTCTCTGAACTTTTTTTATCATCATTTTTTTCTATTTTTTTTTTCAGTTCTTATTATTATTCTTCTTGATAAAAAATGATAATTATAAATAGTGTAGTAATAATTAAATCATGAATTTTAGTATTAATACTAGTTTTTTCTTTTAAAAAAAAATAAAAAATAATAGTTATTAAATGTGTGTGAATTAATTGAATCATTCAGTTTTAATTTTTTGTGCTATGTGGACATTCTATATGGAGAGAAAACTCTCTAATTATATAATAGATTACAGGAAACATATAGGTGAACCAAAAAAAACAAATGCTATTTAGAACTAATGTTATTACCTGATTGGCATATATATGTAGAATTCACGTTTAGGAGTTTGTGGAATTAATTAATAGTTAACCGAGTAAAGAATTAAGCGAGTTGAACCGAATTATCTAAAGTTTTGGTGATCGCCCCCTAATATGCCACGTGTACGATCTTGATCGACACTAAGTGGGAGAAAAATACTACAAAACAGATATTATTAAAAAAAAAAAAAACTAAAAAGGGCCAAAAGGCATGGATTTTTATTTTTTATACCGAAATCACAAACAAAATACACGGATTTTGATTTATTCTCTCTGTCTCAGATAAAGTGTGCAGGTTGATAGGCCACTTCAAAGGGATTCTGGTGTCTGTTGTTGTTCTTGTCTGCTAAGAAAAAAGAGAAAATCCAAGTTTTAAAACTACCAACTTATGAAATAGAATAAAATCATATCCCTTTGAATTATCGATCACATATGTAGTCTATATACCAAAATGATATATTATACCATTGAAACTTTAAGTTGTCTGATTATAAAAAGGTGGAGAGACGAACAGAGCATAAAAAGGGGCCTTAACATTTTGTGAAATGAAAACACTATTGTTGTCGGCCAATTTAAAGAGGCGTCCCCTCGTCTATTTTTTTTCATAATCACATACGCCGATGTAGCAATAATGAGTAGACAGAATAATATCAAAACCAATTAGATTATGCACACCCAAAAAAAAATCATGTATCAACTATCATCAGTTCCTTACCTACTCTTTTTATAAATAAGCAAAACTGGACTATGCACAAAATACTGCAAAAGTAGAGTTTAGACTTTAGAGGTCTTTGAAAAATCAGAATTACTTCCCTTCTTAACCATTAATACTTGTATCTTTGCAAATTGTATAATGATCACGAGTTTTTGTTAATGACAGTTTGCGTAAATTTTTACGTTGAGATGCTTTTTGGTTAATATCATTTTTCAAAAAAAAAAATCCGATAATCATGTCTTTGTGAACATTTGGGTAGAATGTGAAATATTCTCCCACGGTCGTTTTGGTCTAAAACGTGTACGTATATACGAGGGTCAAGCAATGTATGTTTAACAACAAAAATAATTATGTTTCCAAACTGGAGCATCCAATCATGTATTATATTTCTCGACAACATAAATCACATTTCGATACAATCAAAAATTAATTACACGAGGAAAAAGGAAACTAATTTTGTAGACCTCGTTACTTTGTTTACAAACGAAGCGAAAGAGAAACAAATGTTGATGACATTTACGAATGGTTTACAATATTATATCTACATCCACCGGAAAACGAATTGGATTTTCCTTTGCAAGTTGTAACATATATATAAATGCTTGCTTCATCATTAATAATAAAAAAAAAAAAAACCAAACAAGCAACGAAGAGAAGACAAAATATTCTTCAGTATGCTGGTCTGAAATCTACACATCGTATACAGGCATACGTTCCTCGATCAGGACACGACAAATCGGACATTTCTTGCACTTCTCGCAACACGTACTGAACAACAAAAACCAGATAAAAAATACCCAAAAAAATATCTTTAGAAACAAAAATGACTGTTTAAGTGAGATAAGAGAAAAAAAAGGAAGCAGCAAGGTTTGGTTTACCTGCAGAGGACGTGATGTCTACATGGGAGCAGAACCACATTGATGGGATCTTCAAAGCAAACTCTGCAAAGAATCTTCTCCTGAAATTCAAGTTTTTGGTTTTGTTTTGGGTAAGCAATTCGTTACTTCCATGGCCGTTATTGAACATACAAATTGCGGAAAATGAGTTGAGATGTATTACGTTTTGAAGCTTTTCGTACTCCTGCTGGCTATAATTGGTGATATCTGTTTGCTCACTCAATGCAGCTTGCAGTCTCCATATCTGGTTAGGAGTTTAAGATCTTGCTTGGTTTCAGAATGTTTAATATGAAATGACTTAAAAGTCTCTATGTGTAAGTACTTTACCTCTTCAACAAGATCAGACTTTGGCATTTTCTTCACAACCTCTGGTGAGAATGTGTTGTATCTAAAAACAAAAGGAGCCAAACATAGTGTTACATAAGTCAAAAGAGCCAAATTTGTCATATTAGCAAAAGATGAGAGCTTTACCCTGTAGCTTCTCCAGAGTAGAGCCTAGCTTGTTCCTCTCGGCTTCCTTCATCGATGGACCACCAGCCAAGTAATCTGTTGATTAAGATAATGAGAACGATGAATTGTTTAGGAGGACTCAGTCACGAAAGATTTCTAATTCAGTTTGTTTGCAGCTTGTACCTTGCACCATGTTGAAAGAATCCCAGGAACTCACGAGCTGATGATGTTGCAGTAAAATATCTTCCATAAGAACCACCACCACTAGTTATTAACAAGAAAGACTTCTCCACCAATCTATATGTAGCAAAAATAACCCCAGCTCCTTGTAGCAGGAAAAGAGGTACAAACAGAACTAAAATCGGAATGTTTTTAGCAGAAGCTGGCGTTCCCTGGAATGACATTAAAGAGTATCAGCTCAAACCAGGGAAAAATATCATGTCTAAAAGCAATGGATTTGTCTGTGATGTACCTCTAAGCGCATGAAAAGGATGATTTGAAAGGTAATGAATGGAATTTTCATAACATGTCCACCAATATCTTGGAGACCGCATATTCTGTTGCTCTGCTGATGCTCTTCATCAGCGGTTACAACTAGACCTCTGTTCCAGTCCAGATATCTCACTACCATTGAAGATGAGCTAGGTTCCGGTATGTGTGTATACCTATGAATCGACTGATTGCTCCACTTTGTACAGACAAGAAAGGCAAAGCACTCTGCAATTCTGTAGGTTGAGAAGAAAAAAGATAGTTCAGTACTAGTAAAGAAGACACTTTGTATAGTTCAAAAGGACTTCAAGAAGGAAAGTAGTTTACCCAAAGTTTATAAATAAGTCCCACCATCCCAACGCAGCTACATCACCTATACAAGGCTCGAGACATAACAGGTTCAGAAACAAAAGAAACAGACTGAGACTTGGCAGAATCGGTAATATCAAGATAGAAAGATGTGGAACAAGAACAATAGTAACGAGGCAGTTGATTCTACAAAATTACACACACCCTAACTGTTTAGACATGGCAGTCACCATATAATCTTTTTTCTTTAGCTTTTAGTCGAACTTGTGGACATGGGAAGAACAACGTCAAGAATACCTCTAAGGTTGTAGTTGGAATTAAGTAAAAGAATAGTTAAGTAAATGTGCAACATACCACATAATTTAAGAAGAGTGAAGGTTGTGGCGGCAATGAAGAAAACCATAGATATAGAAACCCAGAAGTGCTACAAAACAAATACACAATGTCAGAACCAACCTGCAGATGCAAATCAAAAAGATTAAAGAACAAGCCAAACCAAATTTTTTTGTTTCATATTAAACATATAGCCCAGACAAAAGAGAAAAGGGCATATGTGAAAAAGTTTCAGAGCTTTGGGGTCTGAAATGCCTGGACAAGTTCCCATGTATATGGAAAGCAACTTACGGGAAGTGTTTCCCATATGGCTTCATCACTCATAGTTTCCTCATCTCCAGGCATGAGTGTCCTGCACATTCTGCAGGAAACATTTCCTGTCAGTCTTCCACTAAGGGCAAAAGTAAACAACCTTCCAAATGGAAACAAGATTCTGTTGTGCGGTACTCTAGAATAGTAAGAAGAGTGAACAAAATCAAACCTTAAAGCTTTGATGAAATACCTGACATTATCTACCAAAATTGCTACCTCGAATGCAAGCAACGGTAAAAAGACAATCTTCAAGTCAACAACTGCAAAACACAGACACAAACCAAAAGTTAATATAAATCCATTTGTCGTAGTGTTGTGATTAGTGAACATAAGTAATTGAAAGAAATACCATATTTATCTTCAAGATGCACACAGAGCAGGATCTCAAAAGCAACAAGCAGTGGCGTTGCCATGACTGAGTGAAACGGAGCCCACTGGCACAAGACACAAGACCAAATTACAACTTGGCAGGTTACAACAATCTACTAACTATGAGTAAAAGGTTCAAGTTGATAATCAAAATGTGTCGTACATGCCGATCATGAGGCATTGATGGAGCAGGGAGCGAAAATCTACCGCGCGCAATCACAGCATGAAAAAACCACAATGGTGTAAATATAAACCTGTAAACACAGATAAAACAAACACTCAAAAATTAAACCAGAGTGAAAGTCTTCATCTTTAAGGATGGTAAAGAAGATGCTACTTCTACTAACAGACATCAGCAAAGATTCAAAGTGATAAAACTAAGACGAGTTATCACAATTCTACTGGCCCAAAACTCCAAAATCCAATTTTTTTCAATTTTTGATTCATCCAATTTCTCAATTTTTGCAAATACCAAAGACAAGTCAAGGGCACCAAACTTAAGAAGAAAAAAACTGACCACCAAGAATGAGAAACGACATGATCAAGCTTGAGAGCGAGAAGAAGCGTGAAGGAGAAGAGCAAACCATGCGCGGAAACCGCTTGGAATGACTTCCAGACTCTTCTCCAGCTCATTACTCTTCTCTGCACCAACATTTCTCTATAACGAAACCCTAAGACTCTCAAAATCACTCGGGCCTTTATTTGCACAGTTCAGAATCAAGATCCGATCGAGAGGAAATTTGAGATTCACGGGGAAAGTTTCAAGAAGGAAGCAACACAGAGAAGAAGAGAATTGAGATTGTTCTTGGAGAAAGAGACATTTTCCGTTCTCTTAACAAAAAGCCTGAGCTTCCACGCCAAAGGCAGATGACAGAAAGCTTCGTTACCAAAAATACCCTTTTACTTTTTGCAAACGACTGTGGATAGTAAAAGGGTAATTCAGGAAATATAATTTAGAGTGGATTAGATGTTCTTAATTCTCTCTTATTTCTCGAATAGAATGAGACATTACAGTGCTTATTGGTTAGATATATTTTTTAAAAAAACATTTGAGGTGACATGGCATTAGATAGTTTTGTCGTCATTTTGGGTCTAAACACAATTTATTATACATACTCTTGCGTTTTGTTAAGTTTTTTTTTTCCTTTTTGGTCAACGAATTCCCTAACTATATAAAGAGAAGACAAAAAAATCTTCAAGTACTGAGAACAAAATCTAAAACTTCCTTTTTCATATTGAAATTTATTCTAAGAAAATAATCTTCAATTTGTAAAATATTACAATAAATGTAAAACTTTCGACTTAAATATTGATTGGTTCACCCACTATCACCTACAAATACAGCATTTGCTGTTGGTAGTGGTTAGTGGCGTTTTATAACAATCATAAATATTGCTGCAAACTGCTCCGTATCGTTTTATATACCGCTAAAATCTAAAATCTGCTTCTTGTCAGTGTTTGCGGTTGTGGACGATAGCGGTTGATTCAAAAAAATGTACGTTAGAAAAAAAATGGAAGATCACGTTAAAAATAATTAATTACAAAATTGGTTTGTTATAATTCTTTTTTTGTTATTCAGAAAGTTACATAATCAAACGAGATGACATATGTATTACTTCAACGGATCATTGTGAAAAACAAATTGAAGATAAAGAACCTAGATTTTTGAATGCACTTCAGAAAGAACATATTTGGAAGAATATTACTGAGCAATTTGAAGTTGATTTGAGTTGGGGTCGTGCAAAAAAATAGATTAGATCAATTGAAGAAATTTTACATCATGTATAAGACAAATCCAGAATATCCACTTATTGAAGCAAATTTGTTCAAGTTTATTACGTTAACTAAACATAATTTTGGGTGATGTTTCCAACAATTAAAATACAATATGTTATTATAAAATTGATTAGTTTTTAAATAATTATTTAGTATTTATTTATAATTTCTTTATTATTAATTATTTTGAACTAGTAATTTTGATATTATGCATAATAATATAGTTTTTATATTTGTTTATAATTAGATATGATGTTTATTTTGGTAATTTTATGTTTAACTGTTAAACTTCCGCTGGTTTGCCAGTCAAAAATGTCTCGCAAACGGATCCGCCTTAAAAAGTTAAACCAGTCGTACAAACCGCTTAATAACGTTCAAAATCGCAACCGCCCACTTTCGTAAACTCCGACACTCGCAACTGTAACCGCTGCATTTAAACCAGTCAGACTTTTAATACAGACTCTGTTGTCATACACAATTCAAAGTAAAGTATTTTATACTTTATAATACATTAACTAATCAATTTTAGTTAAATTATACATTGATTTTTAACCGATGATAGTGGATGATACATACTATGTCATAATCTTTTTATATTATTACGAATTGCCTTTTATATTTTTTATATCATTTCACAAAAAAGCATTAGATGTTTAAACAATTAAATTAAATCATTTCTAGTAGTTTTTTAGTTTTTTTGTAGTGTTTTCTTTTACCATTAATTTTTACCTCTTTTAAATATTTTAAGACAGCTTATCTTTCCCTAGAGATGTCAGACGGACTGGTCTGCGTCCAAATAATCCAATCGTTGCGGTTTTTTCTTTTTGCAAACTGCGCGGATCAACCAACCGCGGGTTGCGAACGAAAAATATGTGTCCAAACCCGCTCTGCATTATCCTACGGATCAGCGGGTCAACTCGCGAGTCGAGCAAAAACCAAAAAGTATATATTACGATGCTCGATGCTACATTTTGATACATAAGCTCAGAACTTAGTTCAATGTTTTTATTATATTTGTAGGTTTAGTTCTTCTCCAAATATACAAATTAAAAAAGAAGAAGCAAATATACAAGTTTTAACCCAAATAAAAGTATACAAATAATGGTCCTAATGGAAGAAGAAAAACTAAAAACCATAAGAAGTTAACGTTGTGAAGTTTTGCCGGTTTGGAAAACAAGATAATGGCATAATATGAAACTTCACCACTTTGTAATTTAGAGTTGCCATACTTCATAGGAAGCCAAATTGATACCCTCTTTAACTGACTAGTGAGTTTCTCAAAGTCTAATTGAATTTGATAAATTCAAAAATTGATGATGATGAAATAGACAAATTGATTGGAGTTCATGGTGTAAAAATCCACCTTAAAGCAGTGTTGATTCAAGAAAATATTTACAGTACTAAATATGGAGTTTATTGTGTAACTTTATCACGATCTTTTTTTTCAAAAAGTCTCAAGGCGTCGCCAAAGTTTTGTTTTTTTTTTGTAAAACCCATCAATTATGTTGCCGTAAGTGATGGAATCAGATTTGAATCCTCATTTCACTATTTCATGGTAGCAGAGCTCTGTAGCGGTGACATCACTAACTTCCTTTGACCGATTTAATGTACAAAACTTTGTTTTGTGAAAAACGCTTCGTTTTTTGCGGGTTATTCGTAAATCTGTAAAACCATGACGGGTTAGCTCAATAAATCCACAGCTCGCTATGGGTACAATTCGTTAAACCCACAAAATCATGAATACTCAATTATGTATCCAGATCCACCCTGCAGCGGACTTACATAGTTACATGGGCCTGGTCCGCGGGTTGTGGCCATGTTGACATCTTTACTATTCCCCTTTTTCACTTACAGTTACAGCTATCTGTTACCAATCGGATAAAAATACTATAACTATTCAATGGTTTTGACTTTTGTGAGAAGAGAATACAAAAGTCGTTCCTCTTAATTCATTAATTAAATAGCAATGTCTTGTCGTGCAAGTATATCATGTCCGGTTACAGATTCTTTGTTTTTGATAATATTTATGGCAGTTGTCAAACAATAATGGTTCGGTATGCTATAATAACAGTGAATAAAATATATTTTTTCCAAAAACAAATCCGGAAAACACAAGTGTAATAATCGCAGCTAGTCAGCTAAGCACAGTTTATATAAAGTTTATTTTGTTAAAAATGGAGCAAATCAAAAATTTAAGATGGATATTCGCTCCGTTCTGGTATAAGTATATATATATATATAAATAATAATTCATATAAAATATATAATGATTATATATTTATGTAATTTTTGTGAATTTTTGTTTATAAATTTGATTATTATAAATATTAAAGTTTAATAAATTAAGAAAAAATGTTTTTTAAAGAAAATAATGTCATTCTTGGCTAAATTTTGAAATTTTTTATTTTATTTTAAATATATTTTTATGGAGCAAATCGGATATCAAGCAAATATTTGGATTTTTGACGGATATCCGATAAAGTGGATATCCAGATAATTACGGAGCTAATAAAGATCAGAAAAATGATTATCCGGACGGAGTGGAGCGGATCACGGATATCCAAAAATCCAGGATATCCACTCCATGCCCAAACTGAAAAAACCAAACTGAACCAAACCAAAATAAATGATTTGGTTTGGTTATGGTGTAACCTAAAAATCCACTTGATTTTTATATTTATTGAATTTCGGTTTTGATTTAGTTCGATTTAAAACCACAAAACCAAATGAGTTTTTTGGTTTTTAAATTTAACATAAAATAACTTATATTTTTAATTTTTTATTAATTATGATTTTTTCTAAGGCACTTGGACACTTGGACTTATGTTAATTGTTCATAGGGCTTTAAAATTATGATTTAAGATTTAAACAAAATCTTTACAAGAAAGTGCGTACTCATTATTTTTTCATGGTTTATATTAAAATATATTTATAATTCTCAATGTTTATTATTGTTAATTTTGTTGATTCATAAACAACATGAGGAGACGGACAATTGTGGATTAGGAGGTTGACAACAATCTGAATTTTATTTTATCTTTTTTTTTAGGTTGTTGTAATCTTGAATTTTATAGATGATTTGGATTTACATTTGGATTTTCAGTTTTTGAAGTTTTTTTGCAGTTATTAGCTTAATATATTATTATCATTTATTTTATTTTTGTTTATTATATGAAGTATGAACATTTTTCAGTTATAAAATCAACTAAAAATCATAACTGAGCCAAACCAAACCGAACTAAATTGAAAAATTGGTTTAATATGGTTTCGTTTATTATGAAACCGTTAAACCAAAAACCATAAAAAAACCGAACCATAGCAAACCAAAATACATATGGATTTTAAATGGTTTAAATATTGTATTGAAAAATTAACTAAATATTTTCTTGCGAACGCGGGTTTATTATCAAATCAAAATACACCTAGTAAGGTTAAATCTAAATGGTGCAAATATAATTTATAAGATTAGGGTGTTTCAATTTAAATCTAGGCTTGTATCCGCACATGTTTTATTTGACATATATTTTTATAAATATATTTATATTGATATATATATATATATACGTAATTAATTATAAGAATATGATAATTTGTTTGATTGTTTGGTATTAGTTTTTTTTTAAAACAAAATCTTTATTAAACAAACAATAATTTTTTTAGGATTAAAAGTAGGGTAAGAAGGAAAATTATTCTATAATTTTAGAAATCATAAACAATGAGTAAAAAAAACATAGATAAATGCCACATTTTTCTGGGTTGAATTGCTTAAAAACATATAATTAAGATTTAGGCTCTAGTGAGCTTAGAGATAACCTGCGGAATAATGGAATTGTGTTTTTAAACACGATTCCACAGGTTTTTTGCAACCTCTTCAAACCGACTTAACATATTTCTATAGCAAGTCCCAAGATCATAAATCATTTTTTTTTCCATTTAGTGAGACTGAATTTTTCTAGCAGAACATCGTCTCTGACTCTCAGGAGTGCTGATGTGGCGAGCAGTGAGAAAAATTTCACCTCTTTTCATATATACTAGGAGAGAACCCACACATATGCGCGGATTTTATTTTAATTTATATTTTAAATAATTTTGAGGGTTTTTTATGTTTACTATTAATTTTGGTTAAAAATATTTATATTTTCTTCTTGATGATACATTATTTGTAATCTCTTCTACAACAGTTGTGTCAAATAGTCTAATTTTTCTCTCTGGATAATATGGGATGAAAAATCTACTATTTTATTTTTTGTATGAAAACATAATAGTTACTTAAAAATATACGTTGGATATCAGAGAGAAATATTTATTTAGTTTTTGATCTTCATATTTTTTTTATTCTTGTAAATCTTACTAATATAGTACTTGTTAATTTTTTTTAATTTACAATTTTGAATTTTTTTATTATATATATTTTATTGATTTAGTTTTTCTATTTAAAAAAAATCATATATGTCTTTTAAGTTATCTATTGTCTATATAAAATATCGGAGATTAATCGGAGATTCATTGAAAATTAGTTTTTATATTTTATTTTAATTATTTTAATATTTTTTTAATATTATTCATTTTTTAAGATTAATTTTTTTATATTAAATAATATGAACTAAAGTTTGTATAAATATGTGTCCAATGATAGATTTAGAAGACATATTGGTGTGCTGAAGACCCAAATTGTACTTAAGCATATAAATACTCTTAATAATTTTTTTAAAATAGGTCTTTTGGTTTGTCCCACATCGACAAACTTGGATTATTTGAGAGGGGAAGCTACACTATAAATAAGAATCTTCATCTTCTGTTAATCTTCACGTCCAAGCAGTGGCCCATTCCGAGAGCTAAGTTGAGCCCGATTTTCTACTGAATTAAGGTTCACTCCTGAGTTAAGATTCACTCCTGTTGGGCCCGATTTTGAACTTCAATAATCGAGTTTTTTTTTAAAATTGCGGTTTAAAATCGATTAGGTGGCCTATTTTTGAACACAGCGGACAGGTCGCGCTCTCGGGTAAATTTTGTATATAAAATAATTTATAAGATAAAATTACTAATCTTCTTCTTCCGCCGTAACCGAATCATTCGAAATTGGCTGATTAAGCTGTGCAATCCGGTTTCTTTTCTAATCCGGTTTTTAAATATAAAAATTGGATTTAGAGTTCTTATCCTTGACGATGAAATTTTCTTTTGTTAATTGCTAGATAAAAAATTGGATTTAGAGTTTTTATCCTTCCGTCATGCCAAAGCGTAACAAGGAAGAAATTGTTTTTGATGACGGAGAGCACAAGAACAGTGAAGAATATCCTATAGCCATTGGAGATGGCTCTGAAGAAGACGATAATGAGAGTAATGAAGATCTTAGCTTGAAGATATTAGAGAAAGCGTTATCGAGGCGTGATTCCAATAATTCAAAGGAGATAAGTATGTTGGATCTATCCGGTTCTGGTGTAGTAAGTATTGTGATTTTCAATGGAGAAAACTCAAAGAGTAGTAAGAAGATGAAGGAAACCAATCCAGAAGATGCCCACGAAATTGTTAGTATAAACGATTTTCTTTTTTGTCATAACTTTTAAAATTAGTTGTTTTTTATTTCAATGTTGTTATTTGTTAAGGAAAGTTTGATGCTTGTGTTTAATGCTCTTTGGTTTTTCTTAATTTGTATCAGTCCATTGGTTCAAAAGACCAAAGTGAGGATAAGATGGTGGAAGATTTAACAAAAGGAAAAGATGATGATGATAATGTTAAGGTTGAGAGATATGCTGAACCGAAAGCTGGAGAAATATCTAGTAATATGGTTTTGAAAAAGCTTCTTGTGAGTTGAAATCACTGCTCTTTATCTTTCATATTTTTTATTGGGGAATACTTCTCTGTGATGAACATTGTTGGGGTTTTGTGTTATTCAGCGTGGAGCGAGGTACTTTGACCCTCTTGATGCTGGGGAGAGTTGTTATAGTTGTGGAGAGCAAGGGCATGTAACTGTTAATTGTCCAACTCCAATCAAGCGTAGGAAGCCTTGCTTTATATGCGGGAGTTTGGAACATGGTGCAAAACAGTGTTCAAAGGTGCGGTTTTTAAGCTTACTGGTCGGCGTTTTATGTAGCTGCCTCGCTTTTCTTTTCTCCAATATACTCATAAGGCTTACGTATAAACTCGTAGAATGTTTGAGTGTAGTTGTGTGGTTCGCATGGAAGATATAGGACGACTAGTGAAGTTATTATTGCATAGGATGATGTGTGTATTTTTTTCTTGTTTCTATAGGGACATGATTGTTATATTTGCAAAAAAGGTGGCCACCGGGCAAAAGATTGTCCGGATAAGTATAAAAGTGGGTATAAAACAGCCATATGTTTAAGATGTGGAGACTCTGGACATGACATGATTTTGTGCAAGTATGAGTACTCCCTGGATGATTTAAAGGTAACTTCGTTTTCATGAAACTTAATACTCTTGCTTAGTATAGTTAGATTATATGGTAGATCAGACGGATGATAATGTTATATTTCTATATTTACTTTGACCAGGATATACAATGCTATGTCTGTAAAAGCTTTGGCCATCTATGCTGTGTTGAACCGGGTAACTCACTGTTATGGACTGTGTCTTGCTATAGATGTGGTCAGCTGGGTCACATTGGACTGGTAAATTGTTACGATTTTGCTTTTGGATCATCCACACCGTCGATTACAGAATTGATCTATTCTCATTTTAGTTAAAATAGTGATGCAGAATTCGTCATCTGACTAAAGTAGATTTTCTCTTTAGGCTTGTGGTAGGTACTATGAGGAAAGCACCGAAAAAGATTCTGCTAGTTCATGTTTTAGGTGTGGGGAAGAAGGGCATTTCTCACGTGAATGCCCGAATTCGTCGAGCATTAGCACTTCACATGGCAGAAACTCACCTAGTTTATGCTACAGATGTAATGGAGCAGGACATTTTTCTCGTGAATGTCCGAATTCCTCTCAAGTAGGTCTTTTTCTCTCCATTTGGTGCTTTGAGCTTTTCAATTCTTTCATTTTTCTCTCATGTTATGACTTAGAGTTCCATTTTTCTACATGTAGGTCTCCAAGAGGAATCATGAGTTATCTACTCCATCACATAAATCTAACAAGAGAAATAAACAAAACTCGGAACACACTCCTACTCCCCATGAATTCAACAGGAAGACGAAGAACAAAGAAAACACTGAACACATTTCTACTCCCCGTGAATCCAACGGAAAGACGAAGAATAATAAGAATAAAGAAAACTACGGTCGCTGGTAGTATCAATTGATATTGTCAGAGACGATTATTATGCTTGATGGTGTTTGTTGGGATCAAATGTTAGCTTCACTAGACCTCTTGTATTTGATTTGGGCACTGATGTCAGCTTCTTGTTGTTTTGTTCTCTTCTCTTACGCAAGTAGTTTGTTCAGTCTTCATTTCCTTTGCTCAAGTAAATTGCTCAGATTTTCCTTTGTTATATCTGTTCTTTAATTTAACTTTTGAAAAAAAAATTGTATTTGTTATCAAACATGATTTCATTTATAAAATTGATTTTTGTTTTCCTTAATTAACTGGATTGGTTGCTTACAAGAAAAGTAGAAACATAAAGAGGATGTCTTTTCTAAATTTTTAAAAATATTAATAAACAAGTACATATTTTACTGTAGAAATTTATCATGTTCTTGAGGTAGCTCTTAATTTCCACTCCGGATAGCTTTTAAGGATATCTAGGCCATATAGCTCATTTACAACGGGCATTGAAGCCGGAACGGGCAACTGAAACATTGAATCCAAACCAACCTCACCATTCCACATCCTTAGCTGTTTGCGTGCTACTTTAATCGCCTCTCTTGTGGTGCAGTGCACTGAAGCAGCCAGTAGCAACGGAGACTTTCCTGAAGCTGTATTTACACAAACCAGAAAATATGATCATAAAGTTGGTTGCTAGTTTTTGAAATATTGTCTACTATGGACTGACCTTTAGAAGAGAGTACGCGTTTTCATGGCAGCTGCTGTTTAGTATCTCGACGTTGAACTGCCTAGGAATGGTGTCTATTGTCGGTATCTTGTATGTCCATGTGTTGTCTGTCACAACGAGTCCATCCGAATCAGTTATGTACTCTTCAAGCATGAAAAATCCAAGAGCTCCTTCAATCTGCACAAACAATATTTGTAGGTAAAGGTTCCATTTGCTTAAACTTGTGTGCTCTTCTTATTCATATTACATGTCCTAAATCGACAGTCGGATTGAGACTTTTGCCACAGTCATACAAGATATCTGTCTGTAGAACCGTCGTTTTCCCCGTTACAAGGTCTACTTCAACCTATAACAACACCATTGGATTACCAAAGTTGCTCCATTTCCATAACTCAAATTCAGATTTTTAAGGACAGAAAGGTATCGAGAAAGGAAACAAGAACTTGCCTCACTAACTGCAACACCGTAATTGAGGTATTTCGTAGGAGTTTCTTATGGAGAATACAAGTCACTAGCTGATAAGTTCACAGACTGAGCATAGGCCTGCGTTTGATCATAAAAATCTAGAATAAAAATGAAGAAGCATGATCAAGAAACAGAGAATTAAGGAAAAAAACCTGAGAAATCAACTCATTCCAGCTGATTGGACCACCCGATTTCTCTATTAACATTTTTTTTAGAGGTTTCAATATTTCGACTAAAGTTTCACAGTAGAGACGAACAGCTGCACAACTTCCCTCAGATGTTGTGCTACCTTCTATAAAGTTTTCTTGGACCATTTTCAATGTATTTGATTGTACAACTCTTATCTTCCCCACGAGCTCTTCAGTTCCATCGCATTGGAGCAAACCAAAAGCATAACCAATCATTTGCTTCACTTTTGTCCATAGCCTTTGTCCAAGCTCAATTCCACCAACTTTAACAACGATCGAGCTATCTCTCAAAACGCTTACTCTCCCTGGAGTTGCAAACATGAAGTCCTCATTAGTGATGGAGAAAACGAGAGATATTCTCCATATGTTAAACTCGTTGAACGCTCTGACACTCGAAATCTCGTCCTCAAAGTTTAAAGATACACCCAATTTATCCCACATCAAAGAAAGAGTATACTCATGTGGTTCACCAGCACCATCCTTGTAGAAAAGGGCTAAGCACTCGAAAACCAAGAACATAACCAATCATTTGCTTCACCTTTGTCCATAGCCCTTGTCCAAGCTCGATTCCACCAACTTCAACGACGATCAAGCCATCGCTCAAAACGTTTACTCTCCCTGGAGTTGCAAACATGGAGACCTCATAAGTGATGGGTACTCAAGATATCCCTCGTTTTCTCTATATGTTAGACTCGTTGAACGCTCTGACACTCGAAATTTGGTTCTCAAAGTTTAAAGATACACCAATTTATCCCACATTAAAGAAAGAGTATATTCATGTGGTTCACCAGCACCATTCTTGTAGAATAGTGCTAAGCTCTCATATGTATGGAGATTAATCTTTCTTATGGTATCAGCCTCCAAGGATAGACTAGAGGCTACATTTTTGATTATGGCTTCAGCGATATAGGTACCATGCACATCCCCTGGTGCTCTCATGATTGTTTTTCTTAGAAGATTTGTTTTACGAAGCTTGAAATCAAAAGATAAGGCTCCCCAATTGTACTTCTTTAGCGCCCCTAAATTGATAAATTTCACCAAAGAGTTCTGTTACTTCTTCTAAAATCAAAGTTTAACAACATTTTTCTTAGAACCAAGAGAAAATATGTAACATTTATGTCCAGATTATAATCATTTTGTGTCATTTAAGTAAGTTCTCTAAAGATACAATATGAACAAAAAATTGAGTTTGTGAAATTTTTTGATTTAAGAGATGCAAAAATATAAGATGAAAATAAATAAACAAGTTACAATAAGGGACCCGTTCATATAATGGAAAACAAGTTAAAATGTTACCATATGGGTAAATCGATTTGGACTTGGCATGAGGTCATAAGTTACAGAGGACCCAATAAGCACTGTTCACAATTTCTATACACAAAGAAAAAATATTTTTCACAAATATATATATATATATATATTTTAAGATATGCTAATTCACAACTTCGTTGTAATTCTGAAATTCACTTCAAATAATATTTTAAAATATTTATTTATACATCATAAAAAATTATATCAGAAATGCTAGATGTAAATAAAATTTACGCTTAACAATAAATATCTTTTATTCAAATATAAAAAAGGTTAAAACATTAAGCAAAATAATAATATAGTAACAGAAACAGCCTGCACATGCGCGAATACTCATCTAGACTATAAATATTAAAAAAAAAAATTATATCACGTCTGTTCATATTATCATATAATATAAAGATTTTTTAGTTTTAAATATTTAAATTTTTAAACTTTGATTATAAAAATATATAATAATATATCATTTATCATTTTTAGCATTATGAGGATATTGTTTAAGTTTTCAGTTTTAACATTTAAATATAACATAAATTAATATTCTATTAACTATTTTTATAAAAATGATAACAACTGATTTTTGTAATTTTTATAATTAATTTAATCTATAGCTAAGAAAATTTAAACTGAATTAAAATTTAACTTTTTAGAATTATTTTTAAAATAAAATTTAAATATTTTATTTTATTAATTTTTGGAAAAAATAAAATAGATAAATCAAATTAAAAATTTGTTTGGTAACAGAAATAATAGATATCCAGAATTAGAATAGTAGAAAACTAAAAAAAAAATCTGTTTGAACACAAAACATGCTTTTGTTTTAATAAAGAAGATGGCTCAGAATTTCATTACGGTTTTTTTCATTAATTATGCTCTTAGTCTTAGTAGTCCGCCAAGTTTGTAATAAAAACATAAAAGAAAAATATTGTAAAGTATTATGAATTTGTTTCTTGATCATAACAATTATATTCGAAAAATAGCCACTCGAAATATTTGAATAAGTTTTCAATTCCATGGTTGGGCTTTGCTTGGGCTTTTAGACTTTTTCAACACTTCTCTTAAAATAAGAGAGGATCAACAATTGAAACAAAAAGTGTTGTTTGAAGGAGTATATATTTTCATTTTAATGCAAACGGTAGTACACTATTTTGTGGAATCCAAAGACATCTAATTAACAACACGAGCAGTTGGAGCCGTACTTGCAAGTCTCCAAAAAATTTGAGAAATCTAGGAAATTATTTGTGTTTGATTATGAAGTATGAAAACATAAACAAAATAAAATTAAATGTCATGTCAACAGAAAGCCAAAAAAAGGAGTCACAATACTAGACAATCAATATGGCCGTCACTTGGGTAAAAAATGTAAAAAGACATATGAAATGGCAGTTTATGGTACAAATAGTACGTACCAAGCATCATAATAATTAATAACGTTTTACGTACTTCACTTTGTGATGCAATCTTACACAAATACGACGTCGCTTACGTTGGTTCCTCGTCATGACCAATCTCAAATCACAATCACATATCATACATCGATCATGCATTTAAGTGGTCATATCATATACATTCCTCGAGTTAATCTTTAATTTGTCATCTATTCATCCATAATTACTTATCATTAATGGAAGTTTTAACAACCACTATATAAATATGTAATACTCTATTTACAACAAATTGTGAGTAGTTCTTTTACATGTTTTTGTTGTTGTGATGCAGTTTATATAAAGCAATAAAAAAAATGATATAAAGAAAATTAATCATGGAGTTGAGCAAGCTTTTAATTAGTTCGCACTTCGCACCCTTAATAGATGTCACCACGCGAGCCAGGTTATTTTATTTCTTTTTCTTTTTGTTTTAGGCCTAAGTCCTAAAAGTTGGTTGTTTATGAGAAATGGGAATGGATATATGTAAAAAACGTTACACGAAAAAGATTCTACAAGAGAGACGTAAATACACAAGGCAAAAGAGTCAGAGAGGCATCAACGTACGAAGCTCAGAATCCAAACTTGTCTCTTTTTGTTTTTCCCTGGGCCGAACCAGACTAAATCAATAAATGACACACCTCATCTTTGGTACGTTTTTCCTGTTCTTCTTCATTGTCTCTTTTTGGTTTCACTTACACATTTGCAAAAAGACCCAAAAATTAACCACCAAAAATAATTTCAAACCCCACGGATAAATGTTGCCAAAACCCATGCATCATCTTTTGGCCATACATATATCTATAAAAAAAAAAGATGATACAACCAACTCAACAAAAACAAGCAAAAATAAAGTACTTAGAACCAAACCAAGCCCCAACGGATACAAATATCTCCGTTATACATACACACACAAACACACATAATCTATAGTATAACGTGACGTACAACATTTCATCTTCATGACCATCAAGAACACACTTAGATACACCGAAAATGAAAAAAATACGCGATTTGTAAAACCGATTACCTGTGATGTTGTTGTTGTTGTTCGACGATGGTGATAGTATTGTGACTAGTCATTCTCTGTCTCTTAGCATTCCCAGAAGGAGACGATTCCTCCACATTGCTCTTCTCCATAACCGCCTTCAAAGCTTCCTCTATCGTCCCTATACAATACTCTTCCATCTCCTCCTCGCCGGAGCTCTCTTCTCCGGTGATAAACAGCACGTTCTTGACGCGTCCTCCGACTGTAGTTATCTCGGCCTTGAGCGTTTTGAGACGCATCGCTTTCAACGTTTTGATCATGTCCGGCAATAGATCCGACCTGTCTTCGCAACAAAGCGTGGCTTTAATCACGAATCTGCCATCTCCGGTTTCTTCTTCCTCCGAGAAAGCTACCGTTAACTCGTCGCTCTCAGTTGGAACTAAATTTGTCTCCGAGATCACAGAAGTTTCTCTCTTTAACTCTTTCACGTGTTGAATCACTTCAGCTAGTAACGACGCTTTATCAGTCTGCATACCACAAAAAAAAACACATAACATAATTACCAAACATATAATTGTCATTATCGAGGAGGAAATTATGTGGTCGAAGAAGTGATGATTTGGTCCGGCAATAAGGCTTTTATTTTTTTTACTTTTATTCTTTTTAAGCAGCGCCGTTTGTTTCTCTTTAATAGATCAATTAACCAAGAAGCGACATCGACGTTCCATATTCCCACACTTTTTATTTATTCTACAGTCTCTGACTGATTCTCTCCTCGGGAATTTAACAAATACCCACAAGATCATGATTCAAGAGGAAAAAAAACCTTTGAATAACTTAGTTCCTTTTATAAAACCTAAATGTAAAAGAATAAAAAAAGAGACAAAATATGACATGAACTTTCATGTCGCAGCTGCTATGTTTGTCCATTTCAACTCTACACTGTTTCTATAATCTTTTTACATTAAAATTTCCATTTTGAATCTTAACGGTGTGTGATGATGATGATGAATGTGTAAAATATAAAAAATTGGGACTCACTTTGGTGGTGTTTGGTAATATGCTACGGAGCTTAGCGAGATGATTGTTGATTCTTTCTCTTCTTCTTCTCTCAGCTTCACTGTGACTCTTTGAAGCAGCCAAAGCTTTAGCATCCATGATCTCTTGTGCTGTCATCTTCCCTAACTCAGCTTGTAACCCAAAAGGACCCGACCCGGCTTGCACTACCGGACCTAAAGCCTCCGACAAGATCCGAAGCTGTTCATGATGATGATGCGATGCTGACGTGGCTCCACCAAAACCCTCGTATCCGAACTGTAATCCCTGATGATGAGCTCGGCTTCTGTTGAAAAAACTCCCGTAGAAAGATGCTGGAGAAGAAGTAGGAGGAAACGTATCGAACTGTGGTTGGATCGAAGTAGGCCATATTGGAGAGACGGAGTCTTGGGAGAAGATAGTGAATCCGGATCCGACGTTGTTACTCGGAGCTCCGAAAGTTTCGGATTGTGAGGGATCTTGGTGATGATGGTGATGATGGGAGATGAGTTGGTGGAAGAAGAGGTCATTTTGGTAATTTTGTATGTTGTTCATGGCTCCGGAGGAACTTTCTACTTCTTCTTCTTTCTTTGCGCACATCACTCGTTTCTATGAAGACATAAAAGTCTCCATCTTTCTACTCTCTTTCCTCTACCACACACACACACTCTCTCTCTCTCTCTATATATATATATGTGTGTAAAAGATAGGAAAGGTTGGTAAAAGAAGGTAGAAGAGGAGGCAAAAGTTGAGAGAGTTAAAAAGAGACAAAAGCTTGCTTTCAAATGCAGATTTATATAGAAAGCACTTACATGCGTTTGTATATATCTATGGTTCCAAGGATATGTGGAGATTGCAACTTGTGTTTTGTGTTGTGGTGGAATTATTAAAAAAGCAAAAAGGTTAATGGGTTTAAGATTCTTTAGATTATCCATCTCTTTAATTAACGCATTTAGATCTAATACTACTTCATTGCCTATATCTAATTCGAAGATTAGTTTGATTTATTATTTTAAAAAGCATTTCTTCGACCCAAAAAAAAACGCTCTTCAATTTTACTTACATACGTAACAATGTATTGGAATTAAGTTTATAAATTGTTTGTTGTCGTCTTCTATATTAGACCACTAATGTATTTATTAGAGAACACGTGTTTTATTCTATATGTAATAACCACTCCTTTTACTACTAAACTAAATTTAAACCGACGTTATATAATATACATAATAAACCAAAATTGATTTATATAGGCAAACTAGATTGAAAATTGATATTATGATCAGCACCACGCTGTCCGATCTAGGTAGTTAGGTTTACATGGAGGTCGGAACGTACGGACTAATAAACTTCACTCCTCGAGGTTTGAGGGAATCTAATAATTTTTTTTTCAATTAAGTTAGCTCGTCAAAAGTATTATTTGGATAGGCCTATATGCTCGCTTGCCTTAGGGTTTGTTCTCTTTAATTAAGTAGAGTACAAGAGAAAAAAAGAGAGAGAGAGAGAGAAACTTACGCTTAAATTAGTTAAGAGTTAGTGAGCATCAAAATTTAAATACTATAATAGAAAATCTTATATTATTAATAGATAAAGACACTTCAAAAAACATTTGTCTCATGTATTATTTACATGAATGCAATGTTAAGGTATCAATCTTAGAAATCTTTTGAAGGTAGGTTCAACTTATTCCATTAATTACATCATATATCATTAGCAATACTTTGGTTAGAAATTAGTTTATATCAATTATATATTTAATATTTAAATATTTAATTTATAAAAATATTATATTTTTTATATTTCTTATCAACATATTTATAAAAAATTAATACATAATATTACTTATGTTACTAAACATTATATATCTTAACTCATTTTTCTTTGATCTTAATTTTGGTAAAAAAGTAATTAATTATCTATTTAATAATTAAATCTAAATATTTCCATACATATTATAATATTAAATTTTCAAAATCAAAGTATTTTAGTCTGATATTAGACCGGTTAGATAGAACATATTAATCTAATTTAATATATTTAATGTGTAAGTTCATTTATGCAATTAAAATTAATTATAAAATCAATAATTATCTAGCATTTATACAATTGTATTATAAAATAAATATAATTTAATCATTATTTATAATTACATAATCAGCACATATATTTACAATTATAAATATCAGCTAACATTTTTATAGTTATATATATATATTATATTTACATATTCAAATAAAGTAATTAATAAATTATGGTTAATATTTACTCCGCACATGGTGCGGATAATTACCTAGTACTAATTCAACGTCTAGTTAAAATTTTGTTTTTCATTTATTCAAAACTATGACATAAATGTATATTTATAATTGCTTAGTAGTTACTACGAAATTATCCTAGGCTAAATAAGAATCTATTATACTGACTGTATATTAGAGCAAGCTTCTACTAAAAAGAGCGTTTAGAACAATCCGAGCATTTCAGAGGCTTTCACTCACAAAAAGTGTATATGTTTCTTATTCTCTGTCTAAATAGACATGAAAAAGCTTGTGATGTTATGAGCTTGTGGATTATGAAGTATGAAGTAGGAAATCCAGAGATATCAACTTTATTTTAGAGTTATTTTAAAATAGAGTAAAAAATTAAGTATACATTAGAAATACTCTTAATGCAGAAATTCTTGATTTTTTTTTTAATTTCTCAATGTTAATTTAAATCCATCATAAGTTCATAACAAAAAAAAGAAGCTCTTACATGACATAATTTATAACATCTTTACTAAAATTTTATGTTAAGTTTCATGAATTTTTAACTCAAAAAGTTAGTAAAAAATAAATTTATTCTTTGTCTTTTATAATTAATTAGTATCTTCGAACTTTTTAAATGGGAGATTGTAACACGTTCGACTGAAAATGGTGACGCTTATCGACCCAAGTCGAACTCAATCTCATTTTAAACCCGATTTTAAATCCTATTTGGATCAGTAGGGTTTTAATATTATGTAAATTGTTATGGGTTTTATATACATGGATGTATGAATCTAGAGAGGCGCATATAATTATATTTCATAGTAAACCTTTACAAATTCTAGGTTTTTCCTAATTAGATTATTTATAAGATGTATGTGAGAATGTATAGATAGTGTGCAACTTGGAAAGTTACTCGGCAAGTCGTCTTTGCTTTTAACTTACGGAAAGCTCAACTGAGACCATGTTCAATGGTAGCAATTCTTAAAAGGTGCTTAACTATTATTTAATTATTAATTTGAAGTTAAGAATTCTTGTTAAGCAATTTTGATTTTGTAAGCTTCAATGGTAGAATCCTATTAAGGATTTCTGACCAAGCACAGCTCTACTATCTCCAACATTCATCACATAAATGTCTTCACCTTCCATCAGCATCAACAGAACACAAGAACCCATTAAAGCTAGCTCAGGATTTTCATCGAGCATCTTATCTGCAGTGTCTAAATATGATTCTTCCGTCTTCCTCAGAGCTCGAGACAGAGCCTCTAGATCTTCAGAATGGTTCGTCATTGATGCAGAGTGAAGGAAGAAGGTCGATTATGGCGACGGAGAAAGATGAGGTCGAGCTGCAAAGAGAAGATGAGGTCGAGCTACAAAGAGTTGATAGAGAAGAAGACACCATTGATGCAGAGTGAAGGAAAAAGGTCAATTACCCTCGGCGGCGAGAAGAGTCGATCGACGGAGAAAGAAGAGTCGATCATGGCGATGGAAAAAGAAAAAATTTTGATCCAAGAATTTGAGCGAAGACGAAAGAAGAGAGAAAACAAAATTCTACACCTTGAAGCCTATCAATTTTTGACACGTATCTGGTAAGCATCGGTGCTTTGAAACGCTTGTTTAAGCGTTGATGCTTAGATAAATGTATTATTTAGATTTTTTGTTTTTTTTTAAATTGCCTAAGCATTCTTCCTTAGCACCTGCATGGAACATGCTCTAAGGAGTGTAGCTATCAGAGGAGAAGAAAACAAAATTAATATATTCTAGTTTCATAGTGATCAGTCCAAATTCTTTTTTCTTGATCAGTCCAAAGTTTACTTTAAATTACATCCCCTTATAGCCTTATAGGGTATAGGAGAGTTTGAGAAACAGTGAAACACTATAACCGAAATATAAATTTATAAAAAAGAAATACAAGAGAGAAACACGAAGAAAAAACAGAGTGAACACAAAACACACAGATTGTCGGACCGACCAAAGTCTAAAAAGAGGCTGGCCGAATCATCATGACCTGAGTCTCAAGCTTGCAATCAAAAAGCCCTTTTGCTTTCCTTCGCACTTTCATTTCATTAGAAAAGCTCTTGGGTAAAAAGATTGTCGTTTTAAAAAATAATTAATTCCTAACTTATAAAACTTCACTATTACAGAAGATTTATATATTTAAGTAAAGGAATTCTCTAATACACAATACCGAGACTCTGTGGCAAATTGACATGTATACACAAATATACGTGCACGTGTGCGTATTTATTATAATTATATGTTTCTCGAATTCTATTTATGAGAAAAAGGATGTTACTTTCTCTTTATCGTTAGAATACAACACATGACCAAGATTTGAACCCAAAAAAAAAAACACATGATCAAGACAATCAATAACAAAGACACGGTTCAGATTAATTTCAAATAGGATTTTTATTTCATGTATAAGTTCCCTAGAAATTAATACTGGATTTAAGAATTTTTTTTTTAAAAAAGTGGATTTAATTCAGATTTCTGTGTTTTCTTTTGAAAGAAAGTCGCTGCGATTTTTATATTGTAATGAAGTACTTAACAATAAAGAAAGTTATAATGTTTAAAGTTTGACCGACTATGGTATAAACATCAGAGACTGTTTTAATCATATTCTGAGGCCAAAAATGTCAATAAGAGTCTTAAAGAACAGAATAATTGAACACAGCAATGGAAATAAAGTAGGGAGTAAATATTGTTCATGAAAAAAAGAAAACCAGTGCTCTTTCTCTTGAGCTTCATTTCCCACGCTAATCCTTTATGGCTTCCCCAAGACCTTTTCATCATTTTGTCTTGGAACTTACTTCTCTCTCTCTCTCGTCAATGCTTACATGGCTTTACTGTAAACAAGTTTGACATAATAGAAGTCTTTTTTTTTTTTATTAAAGGCTTCACATATAGAAGTTGTCGACAAAAAAAAATTCTTAGAGCCATGAGGCCTGATTATAATAGAAAATAGAATAATAAATAACACAAGAGATTCAACGAGCTACCCTTTGGTTTTTACACCGACCACTTATTATCTATCAGCAAAAATATATTTCACTAACCAAGCAAAATTTTGTAAGTTGTTTTACATGAGAAAACGAAGGTCTGAAACTACTTATATGATTATTTTGCTTGATTCATTTTTAAAAAATTAGGTTATCAATCATATATACGTTGTTTTAGACTTCGCTTCTCATGTTTTGATTGCATTTGTCTAGGTGTGTTTATTTCCTTGCATTCGAGACTTTTATTTTGTATTAAGTGTTTTTAGAACTCTTAGACTATAATTTTTTTTACTATTATTATTTACTTTTTTTCATTGTAGTTAGTAAGTTGGAAGGAAGAATGGAATTAAGAAAATTAAAGAAGTGTGCATAAAATAATTAGGTGGTGGTTTCAGAAAATATTAGAATCTTAC